GGGGTCGTGTTGTTCGTTATGTTCGTGGTTTTCGTGGGGAAGATGTTCCCCACAGGGTGCGAGATATCTCTATCAGGCATCTGCTGGCGCCGTCAGCTCTAGCGGAGGGGAGTGCTTGGCTGGGAGTCTGTTTCTCGTGGGAACCCATGAAAAGCGGACCGCGCTGCTCTTTGTGCTTGTGGCTGTCTTGATGAAGATGCCTTCGCTCAAGTAAGACGGGAGGCGTCTGCTGGTGGCATCGTCTCGAGTGAAGGGCACGGCTTGGCTTGGCGTCTGTTTTTCGTGGGAACCCGTGAAAAGCGGACCGCGTTGCGCTTTATGCTTGTGGTCGTCTTAATGTGGAAGGAGCTGCTACCCGTGAGGCGTGAGGTATCTGCTGGCGGTGTCGTCTCTGGTGAAGGGAGTGGCTTGGACCGGCGTCCGCTTTTCGTGGGAACCCACGCGGAAAGAGTTGGGGGTCGTGTTGTTCGTTATGCTCGTGGTTATCCTTATCGTGGGGAAGATGTTTCTTATTAGGTGCGAGGTGTCTCTATCTGGCATCTGCTGGCGCCGTCAGCTCTAGCGGAGGGAGGCGCTTAGGTGGGAGCCCGTTTCTCGTGGGAACCCACGAGACGAAAAGCGGACCGCGTTGCGCTTTAGGTTTGATTGTGGTCCTTGGTTGGGAGTCTGTTTCCCGTGGGAACCCACGAAAAGCGGACCGCGTTGCGCTTTAGGTGTGTGGTCGTCTTGATGAAGGTGCTACAGCTGGGGCGTGGGGTATCTGCTGGCGGCATCGTCTCGAGTGAAGGGCATGGCTTGGCTTGGCGTCTGTTTTTCGTGGGAACCCGTGAAAAGCGGACCGCGTTGCGCTTTATGCTTGTGGTCCTCCTAATGAAGAAGAAGAGGCTACCCGCGAGGCGTGAGGTATCTGCTGGCGGTGTCGTCTCTAGTGAAGGGAGTGGCTTGGGCTGGCGTCTGCTTTTCGTGAAAACCCTCCCACGAGGAAAGGGCTTGGGGTCGTGTTGTTCGTTATGCTCGTGGCTTTCGTGGGGAGATGTCCTCCATTAGGTGCGAGATATCTCTATCTGGCATCTGCTGCTGCTGGTGCCGTCAGCTCTAGCGGAGGGGGGTGCTTGGCTGGGAGTCTGTTTCTCGTGGGAACCCACGAAAAGCGGACCGCGTTGCTCTTTATTCTTGTGGCCGTGCTGCTGAAGATGCTACCTGTCTGCCGCGACTTATATGCTGGAGCTGGTGGCGACGTCGTCGATCGCCAAGAGGTCGACCATCACGACGTCGATCGTCAGGGCGTCGATCGTTCGCCAAGACGTCGATCGCCAAGACGTCGACCGCCAGGACGTCGACCGTCAAGGCGTCGATCGTCAAGACGTCGATCGCCAAGACGTCGATCGACGACTGACGATCGACGGCTGACGATCGACGGCTGACGGCTGACGATCGACGACCCACGGCCGACGATCGACGGCTGACGAGCGACTGGCGACGGCTGACGACTGGCGACGGCTGACGACTGGGGGCGGCTCGCTGACGACTGGGGACGACTGACGGCCGACGACTTACGGCCGACGCTCGACGACTGGCGGCCGACGGCTGACGGTCGACGGCTGACGATCGACGGCGGGCGATCGACGGCGGACGATCGACGGCGGACGACTGACGATCGACGACTGACGGTCGACGGCTGACGGGTGACGGCTGACGGCTGGCGATCGACTCACGAAGTGGCACGCAGGGCATGACATCCCGCCCCTCTTTCCAATGAGTGCGACGCGATGGGCATGGACTGGAGGCGACGGAGAGCTTCGATGGGGGGAAGAACGTGCCCCGTGGGAAGTTCTTCGAAGCTGAGTCAATCGCAAGAGGGGCGGAGGTTGGGCGAGGGCTGGCGAGGGCAGACCCCTGCGCGGGACGGGTGCTCTTGTTCCGTAAGGACATACGTCAGGTCGAGGATCTCGCGAACTACCTAGGTCACGACGAAGTCCCGACTCCGAGGCAAGATAGTCACGCGAGCGCTCGCTACCGTAGCGCATAGGGTTGACGGAGAGCTCCGCAAGTGTTGCGCAGTTCTTTAAGTCAATACAATTGGTGTCCGAAAAGAGGAGCAGGGCGCACTGTAGAGAGTGTCGGGCCTTCGCGCTGATGCTGCGCTACCTTGTGTGAGGAAGTGCCCCCTTTCGCCATTCGACAACCCAGAAAGTGCCCCTGTCACTCATTACCCAGCACCCAGTACCCATAGGCGCAAAGGTCTCCGCTGTTCTGTATACAAGTTTATCTCAGCGCCCCACCTCCTCAGCCTCAAAAAATCCCCCCGGGTACGAGCGTCGTCAGCTACTTTCCTCCTCTCGATCAGTAAAACTATCCGCGACTGCCCTCCCTCGCCCTTCATAAGGACAAACTCGGTAGAAAAGCAGTCGAACTACACACAGACGCGCCAGCTTTTGATGGGGAGGAAGTCTGGATAGGGGGGGTCTTGTTCAGCAATCAGAAAGACAAACCTACGAACTTCTCTTACAAATTCGCACAGTATAAGTCGTCTAATCAGTTTCAGCAGATCCAGCCTCGTGATCGAAGGGCTTTCGTATATGAACTACTCGCAGCACAGGCAGCAGCTCAGCTCTTTGGTGACGCGCTTGCTGACGCTAGCACTATCCTCGACATCGATAACGCAGGAGCAGGGTGCTCCCTACTAAGTGGCCAATCATCTTGCCCCATAGGGAGCCTGCTAGCCACTAGGATCATGGGCGACATTTGTGCACTCGGTTCAGTCACGTGCGTTAAGTGGATTAAATCACAAAGCAACCCAGCTGATGCACTCACAAGAATGGAAGCGGTGCCGGACTTCATCCACCGCGCTAGTGGCGTAGATATATGCGAAGCCCTACCTGAGCACAAAGAGGCCACCACTCTGCTGCTAGCTGATCGAGCAAAAACCATAGCGGGGCACATGTCTCAGATCCAGCCACTTCTCGACGATGCTGACAAGGGCAAAGAATCTGCACCGCGAAAAGACCAACAGACCTCACTTCAGCCAGGGGCTCTCGCTATGGCCGATGGAAATAAGCTTCCAGCCATAAGCCATGGCGTAAAGGCGTAGCCACTGGCCTGCCTTTGTGACCTGGTACAGCAAAGCCCATAGCATCCCCATCAAGAATTCTACCAAAGTCGAAAGTGTTTGGATTTGAGCAACCCAAATCCAAGAGATATCCCCGAGAAACTTGCGGAAGGGACTCAAATCCAAGAAATTGAATGCTAGAAAAAATTTGCTAAAGTCGTAAACTTTTAGATTTGAGAAATTCAAATCCAAAATATTGAACCTCAGAAAAACTCGCGAAAATCGAAAATTTTTGGATTTGAGCAATGAACTTAAACCCAAGAAATTGAATTTCGGGCAAGCTTAGTGCTTCGTGGGTTACTTCGGGAGGAGGGGGATCCTAGTGCGAGGGGGTGTTGTCGGGCGCTCCAGGCTAGTGCGTTTTTTCGGTTTCACTTTCACAGAGACCACCACTTCCACGACTGCGCTCGTATGTTATGACTCATGGCCCACTTTTATTTTGTTCAAACAGGCTACGCCGAGCCGAGGGACACCGAGCACAGTTGATGGAGCAGATAGAGAATGCTAGGAGCAAAGAGAATAGTGAACTCTTCGCGCAGCAGCAGCCCCAGGAGGTGCATCGTCATGTCCACCATCACATCCATTATCACCATGTGAACGAAGACGGGGAAGAAGAGCTATCGCATGCGGCGCGCGTGCATATCGAGCACGAGTCAGAATCTTCGGTCTTGCAGCATCCTAGTCAGTCGCGCGTGCTCAACGACGGTAGTGTATCCCAGGCACTACCCCCAGGTGCTAGCTCCTCCTCAGACACAGAGGCCGTTTTATCCACTAGGGGTGATGGCCAAGGAGATGCTCTAGGAAAAACTTTGCAGGGTGCACCCTTGCCTTCTAATAGTGAAGTGCCTCCAGGCGGGGCCGGGGCGTCGCAAGAGCTACATCAGAGCAGTATACAAACCGGCGCGTCTAGCCGGCAGGCGTTGATGTTCTACTCAGAAGAACCAGATAGCGGACGACGAAGAGAGCCCGGCGACTTTGAGGCCGCCGGGGCTGGTGGTGGCGCGCCTCGTGGCGGAGTTCAACTAGGTGGCGAACCTGGCGCTGCGGATGCACTTCTTTCGTCGGGAAAAAAAGGTCTTGCTGCATCGTCGTCCATGCTCCCAGGCATAATGCCGCAGAGTGCAACCGGATCCGGAAGCAATGCCAACATGCTAGGACGTCCTGGAATGCCGATGCAAGGGACGCCAGGTGGGCCACGTGTGACGCAGCAGCATGTGCACTACCACTTACCGCAGGGAAGTGGTCCAGCCAACCATACGGTGGTTCGCCACTTGCAGGGTGCGCCGGTAGAGCTTGTTATTCCGCCCGTGGACACTGATTCAACAATTCGGAATCCGCCAAATTCACTGAGTCCCAAGGGTTTGCAGAAATTAGGGAAGCAGACTGGCCTGTCGAACTTCTGTCGCAACATAAGTACAGCCATTGACGCTTATTCCGATACGCGGCGGCCGCGTTATCTGCGGGACAAGCACTTCGCACCTCTACCGTTGCCGCACGAGCGTGGCGGTGCAGCAGCGCTGATGCACGCCCACACGAGCCACGTAATGCACCACCATAACTTTCGGTTCGAGGAGGATGAAAACTCTCACGATACAGGAGCAGGAGGCGGGGGCGGCCGCTTCTGATTCTTGAATCAAGAACGAAACCTAAGCAAAGGGATCAGGGGAAGCAAAGATAACGCGTGTTTCTTGCGAAGTTGTACTGAGAAGTGAAATAGCACTATTCATCACCAGTTAGTTCAGCTTTCATCTATGGGGTTGGTGCATACGGTGATTGTATCGATCACCATCGACGATGTTCCTGTTGATAAAGTTCGACATTTTCGTGCATAAAATGTAACATGTCCTCTGGTATGTTTGTTTTCAGGCATCTTGAAAGACGGTTAGTAGAACTACAGGGAACCAAGAACGTGACGTACCACAGTAAAGAACTATGATCGAGAACTATATATCATGTGCGTGTTGCTAGAAGTTGTAATGCTCTAAAGAATACACACGACTACAGAACTTCGATCTTCGACGCCAACAGTAAAAATGACAATGAGAATGAATAGAAATAAAGAATGACTATCCGCTCAGAACAAGCACTCTTTTAAACTATCGACTTAAATGTTGAGAATAGTGATTGCATTTTCAGTATCAAATGGTGTCAGCGCAACAGTCGAATGCCGTATCAGTATCTACTTCTAGCCTCAATTTTTCCGATCATACATACAATGAACAACTAGTACAAAAATCGTGCTAAATTGATAAGAATATGGCACGGCGATCAGAAGTGCAGCACGTATTTGAGATTTCATTATCTTGTTATCAATAAGCCAAAAAATGATTCGAAGTATACCACGAATACAAGAAATGCTGTTGTTCGATTCGAATTTTTGTCATCTATCTATCACTCAAGTGTGTACTTGTATCAAGAAGCGTGGGTGGGCGCGGTAAAATGATTCCACTCTGGATGGTGTATCATAGGTCTAGGAGGTGCAAGACGGAGCCAGAGGAAATATGCTCCGTCAGTCTTGTAATTTCTCGATCCCCGCTCTTATCTGCAAGTGCAAGGTGTGAAGACGTATCATCTTCACTTAGCTATGTGTAGTATCTTCTATTCTGTCAACTACCCGTATCCTAGTCCACCCACCCCGCAATTGCATTGTGTTGTTATTCTATTTGTTGCTGTGTTGTTGTTCTATTTGTTGAATATACTCGCATGTATGTACCTGCACCTGATGTTGAGTTGTTAGATTTCAGAACAAATTATAATATCAAAGCGAAGGCGATTTCTAAGATGTTAGTTTTTTGCTTGGTGCTGACCTCCTTAAACCTAAACGATACCTCAAAAATTGTACGAGAAATGGAAAAAATCTCTCATGAACTCCAGTTTGATGCAGTTTTGTGGCCTCCTCAGCCATGTAGACTAGTTGAGTGCGACCTCATCCTTGTACCGCCAACACAATGTATCAGAATTTGTACTCCCGGATGCGGATCGAATTTTCTGGTGTGCCAAAAAGTTGTCCTGTCACGTAAAGTTTCCTAAGAATACTAGCTGCCCAAACAGAAAGAAAGCAGAGCTTTACTGGACTCAACTACGTGAAGTCATCGCCACGGGTCTTTATCAGATATGATAGGGAGGATATTAGGTCGTGTGTTCGGGGACGATTTTCAATATTAGCTGAGGAAAGAAACGCAACAGTAGTAGAAGAAGCAGCACTGCTCCTGATGTGGAGTGATACTATCCCCCTGAGTCGTCCAGTACTCGGGAGAATGAGAAAAGTTAAACTGCAAGGTTGTTCGTGCCTTTTTTTCCAGGGTGAAAGTCAACACTCATCACGTCTTTCTCGACACTAGAGAACAATCAAAACAAGATGCTCTGTACGAAGATGTTGTCTTCGTCGTTGATGTCGTACCTGATTTCCTTCGTTGCACTCTTTTTAACCTCAGCAGCAAGCCAGCGAGGAAAGGATGGTAGCTGGCCAGCGGGGTTGTCGGGCATCTGTGAGGTCGTCCCTGGTCGCTGGGCAGCAGATGGCAACGAACCCATCATCTCCAACTTGCCAGAGCTTGAGGAACCACACCAAAGCATTGACTCGCAAATAAGTGCGAATGCCTCTGCTACTAAAGATGCTAATAGGACCAGGACAGAGATTGATGAACTTGCAAGCCAGACGAGACAGCGGAGAAAGCGAAGTAGGCAACTTCGTGCGGAGTTTTTTGGAAATCCGATTTTTCCGCATCGTACGGAAGGTGACACAGCACAGGCGATTGCGAAATGGACAGAACGAAGCTTGAACGATAGAGGGATAATGTGGGATGGCTGTTGTCTCTTAGATGGGGCAAGCCCAGCGCGTTTTGCCTACCACGATGACAGATTCGCAGCAGCGCTCTCTTACATCATGCGAGAGCTCGGGGGTGAAGTGAATGAAGATGATAATGCGTTGGAAATGCACGGAAACGTAGAAAATGGTGTGGGTGAAACTTCTACGACGACGTTTCCTCTGCCACCCTCAGCTACAGAATTGCTTCTAAAGTTAAAAATTGTTGATATTTTGGAGAATTTGAAAAATCGAGGGCCCTCAGGACTCAAAAAAGCGGTGAATCAGGACCACAAGGATGTGGAGGAGAACGAGTTCCATCAACGAGGAGCGGCATTTCTCTACGATGTTCTGCGATCGGCTCAAGAAGTGGCACAGCTTACGAGAAATAGTGACAAGCAAGAGGAGGCTGGAGAGGAAGCTGAGACGAAAAGTGATCTGCTGCGAAAACCAGCCGACAGGCAGATGAATCATCAGGATGAGACGCAAGGCAGCGATAGCTCGACTTCACCTAGCTCTTCTAGTTTTTTTCAAGCACTGTGGTCTTTCAGCGGTTTGTTTTCGGATGACCACGAGACGCCTGAGAAGATAACGAACGAAGGATTACTAGAAACTTCCGGCCAAGAAGAAGGGGCTGGTGCCACCCGGTCTCAATTTACAGGTCACGGAGAACGGGGGTCGACGAGAGCCTCGTCTTTAAATGCGGGTTTTTCTGTTTCAAGTTCGTTTGTAGATGAGATGGCGAAGTACTTGGAGCGGTTTTACAGCCTCACCACGACGAACCCGGACTTATCGAAAGGAAGAACGCAGACCGAGGAAAAAGTGGTGACCTCAACTGCGACAGGTCTTAGATTTGTTAGAAGGAAACACAGAGTGGACGAACGCACGCCGCAGGGATATATCCACCAGACACCACCTGGAGTATTATTGGCGCCGAGTTTACCATACCTAGACGGCGATAAACGCATAAAGCGCAAGCATCCTGCGTGGCCCACAGCGGAGTTGGTGTATCTGTAGGAGCGGAGTCAAATGTATGAGCAGAAGCACCCCTCTTCGAGTAGAATTGAGTCAGAAAGTAGTAGCAACACGACCAAATCCAGGTGCTTGTCGTACTTCAGTATTTTGTCTCATTTTTCTGCGTTGATACTAGGTCTTGAGTTCTCTATCCCAGTGAGAGTGACTGACACGTAGAGATATTGGTAATCTTGAAGATGTGCTGACTGACGAATCTCTTCTGCTGCTCTAAAACTAGATCTAGATAGTAGCTTTCATATTCAGCCCTTTTCCGGCCGACGACGTGGTTTCGATTTCGTACACTTGATGACCGGGGTCGGCAACGTTTCGAACAAATCAGCGCACTTGAGTGCGTCAGAAATTTCCCAGCATTCTGGCGAACAGCTACAAGCACTTGCGCCACCGCCGCTCTCTGAGCTTTTCGTCACGTATTTGCGACAACAGCTACTGCTTCATCAAGATGAAAATCACGATGACCAGGTCACTGTCAACATCGACGGCATTCTACGCGAGCGTGATGTGATTGAAGGCTTCGAGAATGAGCACGTTTTGTTGCATGAAAAAGTTCCGTCTGCTGGCGGAGACGTGGAGCACAAGGCCAAAAACGACCGGCTATTGTATGATAGCGACTTTTGTCGCAAGCTGCGGGCAAGGGCAGCGGAGGTTGGAGAAGCTGTCTCCAAGGATTCCGAAGAGCAGCATCGCTGGCATGTTTGCCTTGTTCAGCCCAGCAGCGACCCCGGAGGCAAAAATAATGCTTCGCTTGTAGTTGTAGATGCCACCTGTCCGACAGGTATGGGCTTGGGTGTCTATCAGAACTTCTACGTGTCCGACCGCTCTGTACCTAGGCCTGATCATGGCGAAGAGTTTGCCTTCCAGCAGTTTCTGCAACGAGAGCTTGCTCCCCATCATGCGGGTGCGCTTTTTAACGCAACTCACCGACTTGCATTGCAGCGCTACCAAACAGAACACAACGTCCCACCGAATGGTGATCCTTTGCGTGATTGGGGATGTCAGCCGAGGCTGGTAGAACTTCGCCTGAATCAAACACAAACATCAACGATTGAAAAGATTCAACCGACGAACGACAATCTAAAAACTTCGCAGAAAACGCAGTCGCAGGTGAAATCTTCGTTGCCGCGCATTCTGAGTAGCCGTAATGAGCAGACCAGCGATTGCGCGGTGTCCTCGCTGACAGAGTTCCCATTCAGTTTTGGTCATTTCATGGCCGACGCTTTCCCGAAATTTCTCTACGCGTTGGAAACTCTAGCGAGAATATCAATCGATGTTGATCTTGATTTCGAGGCTAGGAGTACTTGGTCCGCTGTGGAAGAAAATGACGGACAACTACATCAGGATGCAGATGCTGGACAAAAGCAAACCTTTTTTTTTAGCCGCGACGACACCCGTAACATCACGGTCCGCCACATAACGACCAATTTCCTCCGAGATGTCAACAATAGTGAAATGACAACAAGTCCAATCTCTCCACAAGCACAGGGGCACGAACAAACCTTAACAACAACAGTCGACCTTCGTAGTGAGAAACTTTCCCACATCGTTCGTGAGAACATTCAGCATATCCTGCGACGATGGATGCCGCATAACAGAGATCGTGTGACATGTACAGATAGTCTGGCCGATGGCGCATTTAGCGGCAATACCATCCGTCGATCACGTGATGCTGCAGCAACGTTGTCGTGCAAAGTTCGCGACCTCACCATTCTGGATGTGTGTAACACGTTTATCGTACCCTCTTTCCGACAAGCCAAAGCAGCATATCAAGCAGTGCGTGATCGTATCCGACGAGGGGTTTTATTGCAGAGTAAGATGAGGAAGAGCAAATCGTTCTCAGTCACAGGAGAAGTCACTACGTCTTCATTACCCAAGGAGATATCCATAATTTCAATCCTCAGCGAGCGCATAGCGAACGCAAGAGTGAAGCTCGTTCCGCACACAACGGGCGACAGAAGAATCTACACTGCCCCTTTCCTCATCCTTGCGGCAGCCACCCCATACTGTAAAACTCGTACAATCACCTACAACAGCGAGATTTTCTCACCGCCGGCCCAAAAACTAGTCAGCAAGTGGACGCGCGGACAGGACGAAAATCAAGATGGAGACCAGCGTGTGCCTCGAGATCCATTCCACAATCTTTGGCTTCGCAGCTTTCTCGGAGCACAGTACCCCTTGCGATCGCGGATAAAGCAACTTCGACGGACTAGGCAACAATTGGAAAATGCAACATTTGCATCGTAATTTTTTTGATTTGAGTGTCCGTGTTGTACATCCAATTAGGTGTATGGAGGACTAGGATGACATCATCCGAAACTCTGAAAATCGCTGGGTGTACGATTCGAAATATTCCACTTTGTTCACAGCATCGGCTTAACTCACACTCAGATTTCCGTCTGAGGTTTTTGTAGTCGACGAGCGCGCTGACCGTACACCCGAGGAGATCATGCAAGATGATAGGGACTCTGCATCGCCAAGTCTATACGATGTTTCAGCAAGCGAGATTGCAGACGAGCTCGAAGAACCCTCCGTCCATCCCTCACTGCTGACATCAGGCCATGTTGCGTCCAAGCTTCTGGGGATTCCCTCGTCCTTCATTGTGACCCGCTGGCACCGTGACATCGACGCAAAAAATTACATCCTAGAAATCGACGAAGTGTCGCGCCATCACATGCAAACTGTGGCGTGGACCGAATCTGTTTTTCAGGTGCTGGAGTCTGCTGCGCTGCTCATGCAACAACTGATCGACGGTGCTGGAGGTAGTGAGACTAGAGCGCTCCCGTCTTCTTTGTCGAGCCAGGATCTTTTAGTTTTACAATCATCAAGTAGCACTAGCAGCACATCGGCGTCATCTACAGAGGAGGAGAAGAAGCCCAGTGGTCAATTGGCATTGCAGCTGCACAGTGCGGTGCGAGCATCTGAGGAAACTATAAAAAAGCTGCGACGATCTGGCGTGAGAAAGCCAGAACAAATAAACATCAAGCGTAACAAAAACATCGAAAAACTCGAAGAGTTTGCTTCTTTGGGTTCTAGTTCGACCACGCACACCACGAAAAACGACGTGCTCTTGAACGTACTAGTCTCCCGACGTCTAGGCAAGGGGCTTTTCTCAGACGAGCTAGAGGAGTACCCACCTCGAAAACTATGGAAGCATTGGCCCAAGCACTACTATCAACGGGCATGGGTAGAGCATGCTGAATTTACCGACTCCATACATGCTTGGAACTGGCTTGCTCTCCTGTGGAACACGCTGCGTGGGCCTTATTACGTTTACGATAGGTACAGGAACAGCTACAGCAAAGAGAGAAAGGATCATGCTGGCGATGCTTTTGGAATTGGTAAACCTTGCCACCGTTTTCGTCATTGGGTTTTCATCCAAGGAAGTCATCGTGTTGAGCGAAATAAAGCGTCATCATGGTATCCTTTCTTTGTCGACAGACTCTTCAAATTGCGGGACTATCTAGAGCATGGCGCGCTTCGAGAACATTGGATGCTTGCATTGTCAGACTGCTGGTCGGAGCTAGGGCTCGTCGCTCAAATGAATGCACGAGAGCCATCTGCGACTAATTCCCCTGCTCGAGAACACGATATTGAGGCTGAAGCTAGTACTATACCGGTCTCTGAGGGACGAGGTCCACTACTTAGTACTGGAGAACAGGAAACAGAAGCGCGCTCATCACCTGCTTACCTCAAGTTGATCAACGTAGTAGAGCACAATGAGACTAGCCACGACCTGAGTTGGAACGTCGAACGTTGGGGCATAGCAGACGTCATGATCTACCCAGAAGGCAGTAATCGCAACAACATCATGTTCGCCTCAGCGTTTCTGCGTGGGCGAGGGAGCCGAGGAGGAGACTGGCGAGGCAAAGGGCCGTGGCATCGAAGAACGAGGACAAGAGTTCAAAAGCATCAAGGCGAGAAGCAGGATGTTCGTGAAGATGAGGCGCATCCTCGAAACAGCCCTCCTGAGGCGCAAACAGGACAACGTGTGCGTGCAATCGAGCTACTGCCACCGGATCCACGAGGAAGCCCCGCAAGGGGCTATCATATGGCTGGCGCTCTTGGGCTCGATTATCGAATACTACCTTGGAATGCGACGAGGTATTCGCTGACTGCGATCCATGTGTCACCGCGCCGTGTCTGGGAAGAGATAGTTGATTTGTTGTTGGTTTTTTGATTTCACACTAGGGGTTTCGGTTTGCGAGTTTCTTTGTTCTTCAAAGAGAATATCTTCTATGCCGGGGATCAGCTGAGCCAAACTCCTTGCGCTCGTCTGCCTTGACACACACTTGATGGTTCTTAGAATGGATGGCTTTGATGATGCAGCCTTGTTCTTATCGATACAAACAAACGGAACACGACGTACTACGCCGGCAGAGATAGATTCGCTTGCAGCATCGGCGTTCGTTTGTGCGCGTTCCGTGACGTGTGAGTCATTGCATTTATCCGCCCATCAAAAGTTGAATCTTCTAATGGAAGCACCGTTTGTTTGTTTGTCTGTTTGTTTGATGGTTTGATGCGCTCCGGGCGACGCGTACGATCCCGCCGGATTTCTTTGTGCTCTGTGTGTGTTATGCTATGGTCGTCATTGCGATCGACTATGCTCTGTCTAGTCGCCACAGTCTCCGCCAGCTGCAGCTCTTGCGGCATGTCGGGCGAGGTGTGCAGGCGGCGGCGACTATGCGTAGGTAGCGCCTGGCGGTGAGGCGCCGCCGGGTTTGGTTGACGTTTTTACGGCCTGCGTGCTCTGTCCTTCGCGTTCTCGTTTTGCCTTCGTTCTCTTTATCTTCGCGTGCTAACTCTCTTGTCTCCTCCTTGCTCGTTCTTTGACGCCACCTATCTCGGCCCCCGTCCTATCGTGTCGGGCAGTGAAGATGGGCTTGCCACAGCGGTCGCTTCTCGTTTCCCCTTGTCTTCACTGGAGGCGTGGCTGCTGCGCTCGCAAGAACGCACCGCCGAAGTTGGTCGCTAAGTCGCGAAGGTATGGGATGAGCTGCTTCGGGTTCGACGCAGCCGCCCCAACATTCGCCGGCAGCGCCATTTCTAATGCAAATTGTTTTTTTCTCATGCTTTGGAACTTAGTACACGCTCTCGAAGAACAAGAAGTAGAAGTAGATGTGCATGATAGACTTCGTCATTGGACTAAGACAAGAACAAGATGCGTCTACCGCACCATGGTAAATAAGGACGCTGCCGAGCAGAGGGTGCTCATCTCTCCCTCATTTACAAAAATGACGGCTGCCTACCCACGTTTTGCGCGTGTCATCGCGCTCTCATGCGTGACCACGACCTCGCTCTGCGCAGCTGTCCCAGACGCTCCTGGCGACCCAACCGCTCCAGCCGACGCTACCGGTGTGGTTAAGCGACTACTGAAGAAGGGCAAGGTTGTTCCAACAAGCGACCGCGGAGACCACAGGGGCAAGGCGAGCAGAACGCCTGCTCATGCTGCTCACGTGCGAGACGAGGAGTTAGAAAAGCACTTGCGCAACAACGTTCGAGCCACGAGCGATCCTTTGTCGATGCCCTACAATAATCTCGTCCATGATCCGAAAACAGGCAAAGTCAGGTTTGCTTACTCGAAGTCAAAACAGGCTGGCGGTGGCGAGAACGAGGAGAGCGGAAAGAGCAAATCCACCACGTCGAACAAACCGAATAACGCTTCTTTTCTCCAGAAGAACAAAGACAAGCAGTCGCCTCCATCTCTCCTTGATGCAGGGTCTACGGGGCAGGATTCGCAGCAAAGCGGCTTATTTCCGATCAAGCTCAACTTCGATGTGGAGCAATTGCCGATTGTTGTATCCATGGTCTACGACGCTGACGACCGCGCGCTGCGTCTGGACAGCGGCGGCGCAGCTGGCGTTGAGGGTGGCCCGATTGCCGCCGCGAGCTTCACGGATAGCATAGAATACCTTGGCTGGGCTCATTTGAATTTAAGAAGTCTGATTGCCGTTACTTAGTAAGTAAACTAAAATTCAACTGCGTATACGTAGAAATGTACTAGTCTGATTCTGATGGACCTGGTACTATTATTCATGACCACCTACAAGCTATTTGTACTCTAATCGCCGTCACTTTGGGAGACGACTCGCTCTCGGTGGACGACGACGTCAAGATGTATTCCGCTGGCTACGCTGAGGGTATCTTGACAAGCGTACGCATTTCGGAATTTTTCGCGAATCACCACAAACTTCTGATACAGAACGAGAAGAGTAATCACGCGCTGATGAACATCAAAAACGTCGTAGCTGCTGAGGTAGCCGGGGTCAAGGAGAACAGCGTCTTCGAGGAGCACGTAATGCCAGAAGAACCGAACGACCCGTACTGGCGTCAAATTCGTTTCATGCTGTTCCAGTTGTGGGGCATGCTTGACGGCTACAACTACATGGCGAATCACTACGTCATTCACAAACTCACGATGCTAGACTTGCTCATCCTCAATTCGTTCGCGGAACTCCCACAAATGATGAATGCGTTCTCGCCGCGAGCAGTCGCGGATCGCACCGAAGCTATCACTGCATCACAGCTCGTTTTTCTGCAAGAAGAAGGACTGAAAAGATCTTTCGCAGCTCATACGCAGTCCTCAAACATGGAGGGAAATGAAGCTACGGGAGACCCGCTGGATGACTGGCACTGGGAAAGACGGTTAGCGGAAGATGGTACTAATAAATATTCTCACTCTGCAAAGTCAGTGTCAATTCATAATTTGTATGCCCCTGTGGCTGTGCGTGAGCGTGTGCGTGTGACATACTCATACTAAAGATTGAAGATGTTATCCTGGTAGCAGCTATGATCTTGATCATAGCATTCAAAAGACGACAAACAGCACACTGTACTGCATACGTTCGGCTGACGGATACCGATTTGATGCTTGGGCACGCAACCTGGGGTGACTACGCGTCCATGCTTCGCATCTACAAGTTTTACGACTTCAGCTTGTCCAGTGGCAACACAATAGCGAAAGTGATTTCCATGTCCTCGTATCCGGGATTGATTTCAAGCGGCGACGATTACTACTTGACAGACAGTGGCCTAGTTATCGCAGACACCAGCATTGAAATTTTGAACACCGGATTGCTGGACAAGGTTGTGCCGGTAAGCAGTAGTAGAACGCTTTTTAATATAACACGGACGCTTTTTGATATTGCTTAGTGGAACAACTTCTTGAACTATTTCTACTGCTACTAGGTACAGGTTTTTGAAGTTGAATTCAAGGACGAATCCTCGGTTCATGTTCTCGAGGTTCTTTACAATCAATAGCATACTCATGACCATCCTGCTTCTGGTTTATCCAGACGACTACACAAAGACAAACGCACACTAATGCTCAGGACCCGCTCGTCCCTGGGTTTTTGCATTTGATGGCGGTAACACGGCTGTCGCGCAGTGGTGCAGAGTGGACCTCGCGCTTCCAAACAATGAACAGCGGTACTCGAGCTGCTCAATGGCTAGTACTAGACTACAACAACTACATGCCGGGAAAAGCGCTGCAGGCAGGGACCTTCTGGGTTCTCGAGATGGTTCCAGGTGCAGCGGAGGCACGCGATTTGTCGGCTCAGCTGAACGACAATAAATTTTTCGGCTCTGTGAATCGGCCTACGTTTGCGGCCATTCGTGAAGCGACAGGCTTTACAGCTGCAGAAGAAAGTCACGGAGCGTTGTATTCCGTGAACGACAACCCGCGTATGAAAATCTTGTCAGCAGCAGAACCAACGATTATGAGCGAGGTTCCCGTTTGTAGTTGTAGAAATAGGCTTGATGATGCAGACATCCTTTCGTGCTAGCCACTAATTTTTCGGTACAGTCAACAGGAACTACATAGGACGACCACGACGGACCTGTGTCTGTGTGACCAATTATTCAGGGAGTAGTCTCTAACATCAGCCTCCTGGACATGCGGGGATTGATGACATCGAACGGATGGGGTACCTGGCCTGGCCCCACTTCACCTGGGCATGCGATCGCCGCGCGTATGGATCTTGCGAGGCAAGCACCGATTCCGAATGGCGCGATTGATGCAAAAATCGTGAATTTTTGTCTGTCACGCCTTCTCTCCGTACAGGCTAAGTCCGGACCGACTGATAACGCCCAACCTCCCTTTAGATGGGAGAAGAAGGATGGGAGCGAGCGCTTTCCTGGCACGTTTCACTACGGATTGCCGAACGTGTGGACTTTCCCGTGGGTACAGGTAAGCGGAACTGGTGTTGACCAGCGACTGACGGATATCGAAACCTGCTCAGCGCATGCTATCGTGTAGAGATAACTACTCCTGCATAAAAAAAGTCTGCGCTGGATATTTGATTATTTTTTCCTGAAAAAGAAAATCAATGAAAATGTTTTTGATGTGCTCTTCGATGGACGATTATGAGTTTCTGCCCGCGCGGGAGGGCGTTTTCATGATGAATTCGTAGCTGGTACCAGTAGTACACTTGATATCGAACCAACGCGAAATATAGGAGTTATCCGGTGATACGAAGTAGCTCATGCTTCTCTCGTACTATGGTGCACAGGTCCTTAACCTTATGTATGATTTTCCTGATAAGTTTTCAACGGTTCTAACGCCATCCTAAGGCTAAGTAAGGTAATTATATTTTCTTTGATTTATGAAGCGCTTTCAGACCTCGTCTCTACGGTCATCAGGAAAGTTGGCCACAGGGACATATGCACGCATTATGAAGCGCTGCACCGCTGCAGAAGTAGTCTTTTCCGTCGACGTGAACAGAGACAGATCATATTTGTGATTATCGACGACAGAAGTGAGTCAAAGACTCTCCCGCTTATTGAGATTGATATGTGATTTCGAATTTGTTAGCGCTTCCACGACAATGTTGACTTTGACTAAAACTATGGCATAGCTAGAGTTTTTGTAGCGACCACATAGTCTGGTATGCGCATGGACCAGATGGTTTTTCTTTTCCAGCACTAAACCCTCTGCACTTCTTACAACGCTGACGCAGCAAAGATGTACAGGCATGAAAATAAGTTAGGTGGATCTGTTCCGCTCTTTCGTTCTCCTTAGATGAAGCAGGAGAGAGACAACAGGAATATCCATGCCGAACGTGCTTAGGCATTCGTGCTCGGAAAACGACTACGCTGGGGATCCCGCGTCCGCCAATCAAGTCGTAGTGGGAGTAGCAAAGTTTGAGGTCCTGCGACGTAAAATCCGGATCTGGATATGAGCTCGAAATAGGCGCCGAAGAACTGAGAATATCATGATTAGAAGAGTAGTGGAGAGATACAGTAAAAGTGGACGACCGCTAGAACTAGATCAATAGACAAAATAAGGAAAGACAACGAGGGTATGTTAACTTTCTGACTGCCTAGTCGAAAATACACTTGATGCAGAAATTATGAAAAAATCGAGGCTCGTTTAAGTTTGCCAAGGCTGTCGAATCTTGCCAGCAGATCACAGATCCCTGTGCTGCAAGCACCACAACTAAAACTACAACAAAAAAGCCATGCCGCTCGTAACGCTCTACGTGAACCAGGCCGTGCTGGAGATATGCGGAAAGCCGCAGTTGGCCGCTTTTCATGACTTTCTTGCGCAGAAAGATATGTTTGCGACAACACCCGGCATCTTGCAGGTGAACCTCGTTCAGACGGCGAATATGCACCCGAACCCAAATGGTGTATTCGTCAGTATTCGTTGCAAAGGGACGAAGGAGAGAACAAAGGAGAAGCTATCGAGCATACTGCAACGCGCAGGAGAACACTTGGTAAAGGCATTGGGAAGGGACTGCAAGTTGCGATTAGAGTGCTTCGAGCCAGATTTGCAGTTAGCAGTGAAAGTGGCAGCCAAGCAAGAACAAGCGAAACTCTGAACTTGATGATGATTTTTTGATGCTATGAGTTGTACAGAAAACGAAAAGTAGCGAAATCTGAGCTTTTGAACAAGATTGTGATTGAGATTGTGATATTACCGTAATAGTATTACTCGTCCTAAAATCAAGAGTTTTTGATGATGCTGACAGAATCAGGAGCAGTAAGCATTGACTTCACAGTGACCGACACCGGTGTTTGCAGCATCCATTCCACATTAAAAAGTTATTGTTTTGCTTTTCTTGCACTCGCTACCAGTTTTATCCGCCGTAAAGAGTCATCTGACCACTACCTTAAAGAATACTTCTTCAAAGTTGTTGTCGGACTCGGCGCCGTGGATATCTGAAAGCTTAAGTTTTCAAGGTGAATTTTCAAAAGAAAAGAAACAAGGAACAACCAAGATGGAGCTGAACTGGTTTGACAAATCTCCTCCGGGTGGCAAGCCTACCATGCCCATGGCGTGGCCTTCACAGGCTGGAAATCCGCAGCAGGGCATGTTCTTTAACGCGCAAGGCTCAGTGGGTGGAGCGGCTCCCCAGTACATGAGCACCGGCGCGAACATGACGGGAGGCGCGCCGCCTGCTCCGCCGCCACATGGCATGCGCACGAATTACAACGCTGCTAACTATGCGGCCCCAGCGACAATGTCAATGATGAACTCGAACTCCAAAAGCTACCCCTCGATGAACAAAAACAACAACGGGGCTAAGGACCCCCTTGCAGATGATTTTGCCGCTCTAGTCGGCTTCGCTGGAGTAACGTCGCCTGCAGCCGGAACAAGTGGTTCGTTTGCTCCAGCCGACCGCGCACCCCCAGCAACCGGTCCTGCTATGCCATGGGGTTCAGTGAACTCAAATGGCAGCGCGCCGAATGCCGTGACCGCCTCGTCGTCGAATGCCGCAGCTTCTTCGAGCACTAACGCAAAGACCAAGGAAAAGAAACCACCTCCACCGGGTCAAAGTAAAGCTGCAGAGAAGAGAGAAGCCGAGCATGGTGATGGAGGAACGTCTTCGAGCAAAGCAGCGGAAGGAAGCACACTGAATAGCATGTGGAGTGCCTTTTTTGGTTCGGGTGAAAGAGAAAAGAAAAAGGAACGCAGACCCGCAAAAAAGGAACGCGAGCTCTCGGCGATGGAAGCAGAAGCGTCGATCCAGCAAGCAGTGGGAGCAAAAACGAAGTTGGTATGTGAGACTGCATGTTGAACAGCTAGACTTATAGGCTAAACCAAAAGCGGTCTGCGGATAGTATCATTCCTTTCTTCGCCCAATGATGTCCAGGTCAGCAACGCTTTGCAGCAAAAGCTGAAGCAAGCGGAGGCAGAGCGTCGGCGCCTCGCAAGAATCGACGCGCAAATGCAGCATCTCGACGCAAGCGAGCAGCGAGGTACTCTTTGGGGGTTCACGGGAATAACTCGCTATATTTTTTTACATTGTGAATTTGACCTTGTTCCATCTGCATCTTTCACTAACATCATCTTCCAGATTCAATTGAATCCGAATATCAGATATCGCTGCAATGCGGGAGCAAGTGGAGACAATGTCGGGAAAGATAGCGAATCTGCGACGCGACTCCGATTCAAAACGGGCCGCCCTTGAACGCGCGACGCAGGATTACGTGGATGCGACAGAGAGACTACAGGATGCAGAAGCAGAGAAGAAGGAGATTGAGGAGAATCTCGTGGAAATGATTCTGCAGTCCGGAAAGAAGAAGGACGAGCAGCTGAACAAGCTCCTATGTGAGATCGAGGCAGAGGACGCTGCAGCCGCAGGAGCGACTGTAGCTGGCAGTGCTGCCGCAACATCATCATCTTCTGAATCAAAAGCACAGCCTAGTATGAAAGCAGCATCATCGGGAAAAGAAAACATGGCAAATAATGCGACGTCTAGCGAGAAAAGTAGCGATCTAAAAGGACCATGCGTGTCGAATTCGGGCATAAAGCTAGACAAATCGTATGCAGAACAGAAGAATGGTAATGCGACTATAACAGTTTCAAGTACAACCGGGCCTGCTGATAGCGGGTCATAGCATGACCACCAAGAGACCAACATGCCTGGCAACAACCAGATTTTTGTGCGCTTGAAGCGTTGATTGTCTGATCGATATCGCGGAGCATTATTGTCACGGTTCTGCATGACTTCTGATGATCGAAAACCTGTTCTGCTCTGCTTCGGCTTCTTCTAAAAATGAATATGTACTTATGATATATGAAAATGTAGTTGTAATAAATCTGTATTGCAAGTGCAGCAATGGAAATGGTTTCCGCAAGTAGAAGAAAAGGTGGCTTGCAAGATCACACACGTTGACGTTCCCGAAGGAGAAGATCGTCAAGGTGACGATCAAAAGAAGGCTCACTTTCAAGTTTCACGCAACGAACTTACGGAAAAACCAGATCAGTGTTTCAGTTTTCAATGATCAAGGTCGTACATGGTCAGAAAAGGATTTGCTTCCCAGATCACTTCTTCATGTCTCCAAGCAAGATCTTCATGAGCCAAAATTGACCTCCATCTATACATAGTCACAAGGCTCCGGAAGCGAAACCGGATCTCGGCTTCTGCAGTTCCTTCTCATTTCCATCTGCTCATTCATTCGCAATCGCATCTACTTCTACTTACTTATTTTGCTTATCTGTATTGCTTCCATTTTAACAGGATTGTGCGCCGGACGTTGCTCGCACGCGATAAGAAGAACAAGAGTCGAGGAGTGATTTTGATTTGATTGCTGATCTTGATCTTCTACCCTACCTGCAACTACTACTATTTAGATTTAGAAGTAGCCTTTTACTTTTTATAGTGTTCGACCATTATGGGCTTTCTCGGTTTCAAAGCGACAGACGCAGCGGCCGAGGCCGTTGCTAGCGGGACACCAGCCCGTGACGACCTAACCACAGTCAGGAAGAGCGACAAGAAAGAAAAAAAGAAGAAGGAGAGGAAAGAGAAAAGTACTATTGCTGAAGATCATGCCGCTGCCGGAGCAGGAGAAGAGCCTCTTCTACTGAAGACGGACGACGGCAGCGTCTCTGGTGTAGCTGACAAAAAGCAAAAGAAGAAAGACAAAAAGGCCAAGGCGTCAAAAGGACGAAAAAAGGATACTCGCGAACCCTCTGGACAGGCAGCTGCAGAAAGCGAAGCAGAGGAAGTTGAAGGAGATGAGACCACTCCTCCAACAAGGCCGACTTTCAGTTTCACAGTTACGAAGACGACCCAGAAAGTTGTATCTCTCATTCGAGAAGATGACATGAAGGATGTGGATCATTCATCAGACGCTGCAGCAAAACCTGCTGAGACGGAAGTCGTCAAATACAATTATGTTCCGTCGGCGAAGACAGGAGCAGAAGGCCCATCTGAGTTACCGAAACAAGAGTTGTGGACTTCTTTCGAGAGTAAACGGCTGAAAGAATGCGTCCCCTTCTTCGTGCAGCACCACTTGAAACGGCGTTTTTCGAAGCCAACGCCGATCCAGGCAATCTCGTGGCCGATTCTGATCACTGGTTCTGCTGCTTCATCAAGTACTACATCAACTGGAAGCAGTACCGCAAGTCTGAACTTTATCGGAGTAGCCCCGACCGGCACTGGAAAGACCTTTGCGTACCTTGTGCCATTGCTTGCAAAAGTCCTAGCAAAAAAGCGGAAGAACAAGCATACGCTACCACCATTGGCGCTAGCGCTGCTACCAACGCGAGAGTTGTGCTGTCAGAACAAGAAAATCTACGACTTGTTCCACCCACGAGTCCGCAGTGCCGGAGTGTTTGGAGGAAACAGTAAAGGTAAGCAGGTGGCTGCATTAAACCGAGGTTGCGACATCCTCTTGGGAACTCCAGGTCGTCTCAATGACATGCTCAAAGACATTCAAGATCGGGTGGCCGTTGAAGGGGACAAAACTGCCACAGGCAGCATCTCGGAAAAGAAGCCGGAAGATGCGACAAAATCAACTAGTTCTCCCTGCACTACAGTTCCTCCGAAAATGTCAAGAAGTAAGAAGAGAAAAGCTGCAGCATCCGCTGCCGCTACCGCAGAGGAAACCGATACAGCTAGTACAAAAAAAGATGCTGATGATGATTCCGCAGCCTCTCCAGAGGATGAGCAAGCCCATGCTGAAAAAGTGGACTTACGCAAAGATCTATTGAGTCAACTGGAGGTGACTGTCGTTGATGAAGGTGATCGCATGTTAGACCTGGGTTTCGAGCCGCAATTGAGAAAAATCTTTGAAGCCCGAAAAGCTGCTGCGAGCACTGGTTTTGTCGTACACAGTAGTTGGTTCTTCTCGGCTTCTTGGCCAGCAAGTGCCGATACGCTTGCGCGTAGTATCATCGCACAACAGCAGTCACGAGGAGATGAAGTAGCAGGTGCCATTCTCACGACAACTGCATTCGTTCAAGTAGGTCGAGACCAGGAGGCTTCTTCAGCTCAACCGATGGAAGCCTGCAAAGAAGACGGTGAAGATGGAACTCAGGGAGCCGATGCACAGGCGCCAAAAACTCCAACTTCTTCAGAACAAGCTGCTCAGCAAGCAGACGAAGCGACACCTTCTTCACCAACATCAGCGGCCGCAGTTCCGCAAGAATTCTGCGTCTTCGAGGCAGATAAGAATGGATTTACGAAAAGTGAAGAGAAAGTTGCGAGACTCGTTGAGATTTTGAAGCAATACAAGCATGAACGAGTACTCGTTTTCTGCAACATGAAAAAGACCGTCACCTGGCTTCATGGGAAATTGCTCGAGCACGCTACCGAGTTTTCCCCTGAAGAAGAGCAGGGTGAGGAAAACAAGAAGACAGAAGGTGAAAGTGAAGTCAAGGAGGACGTTAGTACAACCACAGGTTCACCTAGCAGCACGACCACTCGGAAACGGAAACCTTTTGAAAAACAAGCTTGGAAATACAACCTGCGAATGATCCATTCGGATCTAGGCCAAGAGAAGCGATGCGACACGTATTTGAAGTTCAAGACGAACAAATTCCGTGTCCTGGTAGGAACTGACGTCGTCAGCCGGGGCCTAAACATTGTTGGGTTGAACATTGTCGTCAATTTCGATGCAGCAGAGAACGGCGAAGAGCACTTACATCGTATCGGCCGCTGCGGTCGTGGGGGCGACGCTTCAAGCGCTTTAAGCGTTACCTTTCTCGGCAGCAAAGATTTCAGACAAGCCGCGGAAATTATCAAATGGTGCTACACTCCTAGTGAGAACGACAGCACTTCTACTTCTACTATATTCTGCTCCGCGACTGTGGAATGCCCCACAGCTTTGAAGGAGCTGGCAGATCAATACGGGAAGGGTAAGACAAAAGCCCCCAGAGAGAAGAAAGCGGCAATTGGCGACGATGCGAAGAGATCGACGAGGAGAGGTAAACAGCAACAAAAAGGTAAAGGTAAAGAGGCGAAGAAACGCTTACGTCACGAAAGCAGCAGCGCTAATACGAACGCAACAAAGCAAGCGCAGGCTGAGAATCAAGAAATTGAAGATCATGGCCAGAAAGATGTGAAGAAGAGAAAAGTTGCAGGTACAAGAGCAAATGTTTCAGCACCTGCATCTGAAGTAGAGAAATCTGCTTCCTCTGTTCCCCTAGCAGAACAAAGCACGATGCCTACTACTGCTCATGATCATGAACACGGAAACGATGGCGCTGGCTTATCCTGTTCTGCTGCCAGGCGGGCCAGACGGAAGCAGAACAAGATGAAAAGAGAGCAAAGTGCTGCATGACTGCAATTCCATCACCGCGAACTACTTTGCGAGGACCTAACAACCACAAAGCTCTTATCATCAAATTTTTTCTCACCCATCATGCACATGCGTTGATTCTGCATGACCCACTTAGATCGTTGTTATGTTGTTGATGCCTCCATGTCCATTACAATTCTTCTTTCTGCAAATTTGAATCTGAATCAGCATATCATGACAAAGACAGCGTGACTGCGTCCTCCTACCTTTCCTCGGAACTGTCCGACAAGGTGTTCATAAGTTGAGGCAGTTTGCACAACGCAAATCAAGTGCAGACAGAGCGTGCTGATCATATCACATCATATCGGATAAATATCATCTTGTCATGATTCATTGTGGAGGGAATGGAATTTTTTTATTGTTTGTCTTTGTCGTGCTGCTACCTAAGCGATGGATGCTGTAGCCGAATCTTTCATACATCTCCTCTAGAGTGAGTCTGAGCCCGTCGAAGCCGAACATCAATTTTAATATACGTGAAGAATGAAATCATGGAAATCAACAACTTTCTGGTTACCTTTCGTTGTCCGAATAGGAATGCGAAGATAACTTGCTGCTTCGCGTTTATTCATTGGTAAGTAACCAGAGATGATCGTGAGGATGGGTTCCACTTCAAGTTTGGCTGTTGGTATTCAAGAAGTTATATACCTAAATTCAAATTGATGTTACAACCTGTTTTATTTAGGTCGTTTCTTATGTCTCATTCCGCTGATGCTCGGATGAAAATATGGAGTTATTTCATTCGTTTCCCAAAAAACAAGACGATGCTATTCCATCAACACTTACACTATTCGTCCCTCCGATAATCCATCTCATAGCAGGAAAATGTGACTGCACTAGAGACGTCGTCGTCGACTATCGTGTCATATCGAGGCGGCTGTCTCGTTCACCAGTGTGAGTGTGTCCAGAGAGAGTAAAAGTTTGCCTGCAACAAATTATCATCCGTGAGTGGTTTCTTCACAGTAAAACGGCAACGCGATATTGTGCCACTACGCAAAAGGGCACTGTGGTGTTGTTTTGCTTGTTGTGATGTGAGGTTTCGTTGTTAACTATCATACATAAATATGAAGCGTAGATTTTTCTGTATGAACAAGGTGTAAAGTGACGAGATTGCCCACTCGCGCGCTTACCGTGTAGTGAGTGTAAATTGTAAAAGGTTACCTCTTTATAAAATCTTCATCTATTTTTGATTTTATAGTTCTTTTTGCCTAGTAGCTAGGTACTACGTGGATGTATGCATCTCCGGACATCATCTACAAGATCTGATATTAACTACTTACTATGAATATGATTTAGATTTCTTAACTGAAATCGAAACTACAAGTCGACGAGACGAATCAATGTCTTACAACTTAACTAAGCTAGAAGATGCATGAAGTTGAAGTAATGTTAGCACATCATACAGTGACACCGTATGATCAGAAATTAGGTATATGACCATCGACAAAAAATAAACGCGAACAAGCCGAGCGGGAGTAATTATATGCACGAGCGGTACTTACAAGAAGTAGAAGTATAGGAAAATGATTAATAGATTGTGAGAAAGAAAAGATGAAGCATATTTTGGTTCCCGTTGTGTGCAAGGACGAATTGGCGCGACAGCACCCCAGTGTGTGCCTATGCGATGCGGCTAAAACAATGACAATAAGGTCCCTCGACCTCAAAAACGAGAGGAGAAAACCTGCAAATAGCACTAGCAGAGAGGACAGCTCAAACTTTTTTCGATCATTTCGTACGTCGTGGTGGAGACGCTCAAGAAGACGAAGTAGATCAAACTCAAAAATTACAACTGGAAGAGAAGATGAACGTAACCACGATGCCGTTTGGATTCGGAAAGCTGGTCTCCTTTGGAAACGGAGATCCGCTTCCTCCTGCTTGCGGATAAAGCTAAGTCAGGCAGTGGCGCTTTTTTTCCTTCAGAGTTGTCGGGTGGCAAGAGTTGCTTCGGCGCGAGGTCCAGTAGTTCGTCCTCCTCGTAACGGGGCGCCGCCGCCGTCTATCGTATCTCGTGATTCTTCCGGGACCGGGGCTGCCTCGTCGTTTCTTTTTCCTGATGTCCCTGCTGAAGTGGACGACGAGACGCGGCAGGCATGTGCCACTTCCACTCTTGAGCTTCATCGACAGGAATCAGGAGAAACATGCAGCTCGATCGACATTTTCGGGGTCCTCTCGACAAGGGGGGCAAGAATCGTCGTTGATTCCGGAGATTACGTCGCTCCAGTTCAGGGACGACTTACGTCTGGCGATTTTGAAGATCCTCCCGACCGAGAATCAAAACGGGATCTGCTACAACATGATGCGAATGATCACCCGCAATCCCCTTCCATTTTCTCGCAGCTACCTCTTTCACATGGAGGAGAGGAAGATGCAGGTCCTCACCAGGACCTTGATGATACAAATGCGACTCGTGCTTATTCAAATTCAATTGATGCCAACATTTCTTACTTTGGGCCGAGAATACTAGGAACATCGACAGATCTTGCCTTTGCGACTGCGAGTGCAAATCCTTCAACGTTCGATGAAGGTGGCGCAGAGGTGGAGGTTCGTTGTCGTGGTGAGCGTGGGCTCGCTATGCTACCAAATCGATTCGAAGACCGTCCGCATCAGCCTTATATGTTCACCTCTTCTTTACCAACTGCGGCAATTATGGAGGGCGCGAGCGGAAGTCCAACCCATCGGATAGAAGACACGACAGGCCCTGTGCCGTGGCCGGCAGCTGCACAGGAACTTCATGCTGCCAGGCACGCCATACAAGAACACGGAATAACCACCCGGCGATCTTTTTCATCCGGGAGGAAAACAGATCAGGCTCCAGCACCTTCTCAAACAGAAATGAAAGCAGTTGGACCTACATTTCGCTTGAACGTGCCGGTGGCCTTACAACGAGACGCAAGAAGCGCGAACGCTGCACATAGTTCCTTCCAGCGTCAGCCTGCCACGGCGAAAGGCAATGGTGGCGTTTCGGGTGGACTGGACGAAGATACTTCGCTTTATTCGAGCGAGGACCCCTCTTTTCTCGATTCCATGGTTCCTGAGCGAGGCGGCACCGCGGGCGTTACAACGTTGAATGGGCCCGCTGCCTCGGGTGGTTCTAAAGAGGCACGGAGAAATGACCTCGCGACACGCTGGAACCGCTCACGTCCACAGGAGGATGCAGCGAAGAAGTCCAAATTTTGTGCGGTACCGCCACCGCCGCGTCCCATGGATGTGGAACCGCCTACAGGAGACGATTGTGAACTAAATCGTGACGATGACGAGCTGCGCAGAAGGGAATTCACCATTCGAGGACGACGAGCAGGCAGTAACCTCCGGAGAAGAAGGCTGAAGACAGTCTACACTCAGGGGGCTTCGGCTCCTGTGATGTGCATATTCTGTCAATCCGAAGTCGAGACTGGTGGGATTATTGACGTTGATGTCGTAGCCAAGAAGCACACGGAGCAGAATGCGAGCAGGCGGGGGAATCGTGATGCCGTATCCTCTGATGCACTTCGACTTCCGAGCCAGCAACAGAAAACTGCTTCACGAGGGCGCGGATCTGTACTAGAGCGCAAGCTCGATGAGCGCGAGGCGACATCAGCTTCTCGAAGTGCAGAGGATAGTGCCAGTAAAGACGAGTCGTCGGCTTGCGCAGCACTGCACGAGTCAGCGTCAGGAGACATCAGTTGTAAACCAAATGCACTGGTGATGAGAGAGAGCAAAACGAGCAGTTTAATGGCAGCTGCAGACGATATGACGCCCAAGGAAGGTCTGACATTTTTCTCGTTATCAGGCAAAGCTGCATCAGTAACGCCTGGAGAAACTGGGCATTCTTTGGCCATGCGAGAGCAGCTCCAGGAAGAGAGCCGGTCCAGCCCGACGAAAACGGATGGAGCGTCGTCTTCGACCGCTGGAGGTGGTGGATCCACTTTCCATATAGTACGTCGCCACGGCCAGCACGCTCAAGGAGCCGAATTTGCCCAGGCGAGGACAAGTGCCGGTGGGTCGTGCGAAGAGCGGATAGATAAAATGAATGTACGAGCCGCTAGCAAAACCGCTAGCACTTCCTCTCTTTTACCATTCGGCGCGGCGACCCGAGCAAGAACAGGATCTGGATTTTTGTCGAAGTATTCTATTTCTCGTGCAGATGCTGCCTCGAGTGACGCACTGCCAAAACAAATGCCGTTGACTTGTAGTATGAAATTGTTGCCCGACTTGCGAGGCAGCTATGATCTTGTCGAGCAAAGCACACCGGAATCACGATCATCAAGCTCACTACGCGAAAGCCTGCTTGCACCTCGAAAACTTTTGCAGGCCTCGCAGCAGCCTCCGATTTGGGAAGAAACTGCGGGAGTAGACGCGACAAAAAAGTCTTCAGAGCAACATGTGGAGGACATCGCTCTTAGTGAAAAGCAGGCAGACGAGAAGGAAGCCGAGGAGCAGGAGGATGATGATCAAGATTGTGTTTCTCTCGAAAACCTGTACCACGGAGCAACGAGTGACGAAAAGAGGCTGTTGAATGCCATGTTGCGGACTGTCGCTCGCGAGGACCTTACACCTCACTGGAGTGAGGTCTTGCCGCAGGCAAGCAGCTGCTACCCTGCTTCAGACGATAATGATAGAAGGACAATGTATCGTTTTGATTGCGCGCATGCTTTTCATTCGATCTGCCTCGTGCGGCATTATCTCAAGTGTCTGTATCAAGCGCAAAAGAAATTGGACGACAAGCACTTGACGGCTATCATATCGCAGAACAAGGAGATGCTGCATGAACGAGATGCCAACTACGGGTGGGACGACCTGAAAACCCATCAGGGTGATCAGCAGGAACATTCTCCTGGGGAGATAGCGGGCGGTTGTTCTTCGAATGGTATCGATGAACAGCACTTCTACGACCAGCATGAGATTGTGGAAGCGAGTCACGATTTGACACAACCCTGCAGCCAAGCACAAGTCGAAGCGTCTGCTCATGAAGCGTGCGCAACGAATATAGATATGGGACAGATGGATAGAGAGGTCGGGAAGAGTCATATTCGCCGGAGATGGACTGCTGCCGTCTGTGCGGCGTCCGTCCAAGACGGATTCCAAGGTCCCACAGGAGGCACAACAAGTATGCGCGACGGCTTGGAAAAGCAGGAGGGTTGCACCACAATAATGAAAGAGCATGCGGCCCCGGCGGGAGTTGTGGATGAACATCAACAATACTACACTGGAGGTAGCAGAACTAAAAAAAAAAGTGCTGGAGAATCATGCGACGATAGCTCGGAAGGAGCAACAGAAAGTAGCGAACTATTTTGCACCGTACCCTTCGCATGTGGCAGCTATAGCTCTTGTTTTCCAAAGATACGGCAGCTCAAACCGGAAACGAATTCCGATGTTGGTGGAGCAAGCAGCGCACAACGGCCCGTGAGCGACGTCATGGATGACCAACGCACAGCGAGAGGATTGGCATCTGTACAGTCTTCTGCAGCAAGGGACGCGAGTGAAACATCTTCTTTTTCCGCAGGCGCCGTGAGCAAACAAGACAAAGGCGGCGCCACTGGTGTCATTCCAAAAGACCAATCAATATCTTCTAGTGGCAGTTTTTACAAAACGCTTACTCGGACACGGACACCGAGCTTTGATATTAAAGCAAAAGATGCCGCCGCCGTTACGGCTACGTCTTCAGGAGCGTTCGAGGTTGGGGTTGCAGGATCCGAGCCACAAGTGAATAATTTGAATTTGTACTGTAAGCCTTTTGTTCCTCCAGGTAAAAGAACCCGTCCTCCGCATCATGCCCCCGGATGCCAGTGTCGGCAGTGCTGCGTGGCCAGAGCGCAACGACTGCGAGGCTATGGCGACTTCTGGGATGATTTATGTAGGAACGACGCTGAGAAGCTTGCGGAGGAATTTTTTCGACGCGGACGCTGGCTTGATTCGTGTCGGTGCATGTGCGGCGAGACTTTGCAGAAAGACGTTTTATCCGCGGTTCTGGACGCTCGGCAAGCCTCTACGAGAATCCGGCGCCGTGTCGACCGCGCGACGAAGTGCTGCGCCCTAGTGTGCTGCTGTCTTTCATTCACCTGCAACCACCTGGCCTATGGTGTTGACAGCATGTACTCCGAGCAGGGGAACAGCTTCGACGGGGGACAGGCCAGGGCGGGAGGAAGAGATCGCCTCCTCAATAGTCGTTCACGCTACTCTTTCGAGAATGTGGCGCAAGCTCCGGCTATGCACCACATGAAATAACAAGTATCTCCTGCAAAAACTGAGTCTGAGATGACTCTAAGAAGTAGTAAGAATCATCACTCTGCTCGAAGATAACGACCTTAAAGTACATGTAAGCGGCGCACTTCTAGTTGTAGAGACAAATGCTATGCCTGTGCCTTATTTTATTATCATGGAATTGCATTCTCGTGTGTTATAGTTGTTCTACTATTGATGCACACGGCCCCAGCTGGCTCGTATTTCGTCTATCAATAATCCATCGGCTCTTACTATGTTTTCCTTGTTTTCTAGTTGTTCTTACCCTCGACGGCAATCTGCAATACGCCGACGAGAGCAGTCGCAGCAGGCGACACTCTTTCACCTTCTGCAAAATAATGACAATGACCGAGGATGGATGAACATGAAGATGAACATTTTTTTTCTGCCGGTAAGGATATAGCCAGAACCTTTTTTTAGAAACGCAATATCGAAATCGTCTAAATGGTATACAACCGAACAACTACATCCTCGACCAAGTCTAATTAATGCAGGCTTCCACCTTCTATCCTTTGTATGGTGCGAAGCGAGGAAGGTCCGATCTACAAGAATATGAATATCTGCAAAATAGTTACGAAAAAAAACTGAAGCTGGAGGTTTTTTTAGATAAAGTTTAGGTCAAAGAACATCAACATGAGAAAAAGAATTTCGCGATCGCGTCGTATTCATTGTTTGGACTGGCTACATGGGGTTTTTAGTACAATGAATCCCGTAGCGGCTGTAGATCTCCATAAAAATACGCCGTTGTCAGTCTGTGAATGTGCACACACCACTCGTAACTTTGATGAGTGTCAAAAAGGCAATGCTCTCAAGATAATAAATCGAGGATGAGATGAAGCACAGCGCTTTCATTTAACATGGATGAACATGAAAATATAGATGAATCAAAGACGAAGACCAACTTAGTTCAGTATTAGATCAACACTCAACTTGTTTCTACAACAAAAATTGTTATGAACCCTCGGTGAGTTGTTCTTTTCTGAGAATCTCACACCTCCCACAGCTGCATTCTATTTTTGAGGTCTAACTATGATGCCCTTGCGTGGTGTTGCTTTCGTGCTGACTGGTATTTGCAGTTTCTGCATGGTCACCAGATCTGGTTAGCAAATAGATAGAGGCCATATCATTCAACTTTCAATGTCAAGCAAATGTATGGGTACCTTCAGCTGCCCAAGCTAGGTATAATCAGTGAATCAGGAATTATTGAGTTTCCTGATTGAGTTATAACCAGGAGAATAAAGATGAAGCGGAGCTTAAGCATGAGACGAAATAAACATGGTCTTTCTTTGCTCTTGCTTGCTCTGGCCATGTTCAACTTCAGTCATGTGTAACTGTATCTACAATGTCAACATGTTAACCAAATGCATGGTCGCCGGTAGCCACCCGCGCGTGAAGACCAAAAAGTAAGAAAAGTGTACACCATTTTCGATTTCGGGGGTTCGCGAATTTTCGTAATTTTATTGGCTGCCCGGCCGTAACGACTACCGCAGATGTCTTCCGAGCCCAGACTTCTGGAGCCGTGGCCCCTGCTTGTCGCATGCCAGAATGGTCTTAATCTTAATGTTAATCTTTAAGCAGAAGCCTGAAGATCATAAATTGTTCTGCCCCAGAAGAGGAGAGAAGGCTCGCAAGATTTTGGTAATGAAGCGTTCTTTGCTTTTTAATCTCTGTCGTGCTGGCCAGAGATCTGTCAAAAAAGAGGTAGGTGCAATAGTTTCCAGCACTTCACTGGATATAATAATTACTACGAGAAGATGCATGACCGTGACTCACACGACAACTTCCTATAAGGTCGTAATTGTAATTCATTGGGATCCCTTTCAAAAGGCGCTCGGCTTGATCACGCTCAGGTTCAGCTTTTCTTCATCAGGAGAGGAAGGCCAAGAGTCTTGATTGTGTGGATGATGTGGAGTTTGTATCCACTAGGAACAGTAGATAAGAAGAAAAAAATGGAAGTGAGAGAGAAGGACGAAGATCAGAATCGCGCACTACCAAACGAAGATGATCCAAGATGCGCATCGATATTTTTAGATTCGAGTTACAGTAGAAGTGTAATAAACTATTGGTTATTTGAGATTAGATTTACTAGAGGATCAAATTCAAGATGAACAGCAGCTGATCATGAGACACGACGCTCATTCTCAAAAACAGGATCTCAATCAACAACACAGTCGAAGCAATTATCCGGATCCAGGACTACGCTCATTAGGTCTAGTCTAAGTCTTCTTCCTCTTCTTCAATTACTTAAGAATGAAGATAACCATTATATTTATACTCGCCAATGACCTCATCCCTCACCGAGTTAACGTCAAGATTCCGCACGACGACCACTAACAGGGGGTTTATCATCTTTGTTTCTTTTATGTATATGTTTTTTTTAATACATAGAGTAGAAGTTGAAGCAAGAGCATGGCTCTATCTTTTTCAAATGATATCTTTGAGTCCCCCTGATTTCTCTGTCTCTGTAATCTATTGCGGTTTACCCCTTCGCTTTAAAGCTTTGGCCTCTGTCATTCTTTTTCTTATACATAGTTATACATAGTTACGATTTCTCATCATACTGGAACTTGGATAAGTATCAGAGTATTTCAAAAATATCACTTACACTCTGGGTCTTGAGTTTGAGACCCATTCGCTTTCTTGGCGTACCTAGTCGTGACTCCCATCCTCATTTACCTTCGACCCTCGAATTGTATTGAAGAACTCTTTTTACTACCACCAATATCGACGTAATCGTTTGTCTACGACAGGATGGCGCTTCGTCACACTCCCACTAAGAGTATCTCCTCAGCAGCGCACGAAGACATCAACCGTTTTCGAGCCGACGACGTAGCGCCTAAAAGACTTGACTTTGACGGCGGCAACGATCATGATGACGCGAGCCACGGACGGCGAGGTACACTTCTTTGGGACACCCCAGATGATCCTCAGGAGTGGATGCGACACGTTCTCCGTGAGCTGTGGCCGCTGGCTATGCGGTACGGTGGAGAACAGGTATCATCCTCGGTGAAAAGCGATAAGGTGAAGAAGGAAATTGCCGCGACTTTTGAGTCGTTGCCCATGCCGTTCCAGCGTACTTCTGAGAGTAAAAGAACAAGCGAGGACGTAACTGTCTGGGCAAATCGAGTGTTTGCGCACATATGGCCAATGATTGAGCACACCATGCAAGAGATGATCAAAGAGCAAGTGACACCTGAAATCGAAGACTGCTTGCCTGATGCTTTGGCCTCATGGACGGTTGAAATCACGGCCAACTTAGGCAGTCGGCCCTTCAAAGTTCGCAATGTCGAATGTTTACCCCCGCGACGAGACCCGGAAACCGGACGGCTGGATTTGGACCTGGCCCTAGACTTGGAAATGGACTCAACTCGATCTTCTAGAAGCGACAAGAAAATAAGTGCTGGCTCTACTCCTAATCAGGATTCTAGTGCAACACTGTTGTCGATAAAGGTTGGTCCTACACTTTGCTTCGTACGAAATTTCGTTTTCGATGGACGTCTTTTCATTACGTTGAACAACCTGTCTTCACAGAAGCCTCCGTTTTTCTGCTCCGGCTTCTCGACGTACTTTACAAATGCGCCCAGGGTCGATTTCGATCTTGATTTTGGAGGACTCCTGAAAATTGCACCCGGAGTTGGGTCCATCAAGCCTACCATAGTGGACGCCATTCATTCGGCGCTGGGGAAATCCTGCGTGTTGCCAAGACGAACAACGTACATTCCCGGTGGTGGCGCAAGCAGCTCGACATCTGCCGAAGCTGCCCCCAGCGATTATGCTCCAACGTCCCCGCGTGCATCTTCTTCAGGCAAGCCTACATTTGGTACAAGCACGACCGCGCCGCAAGCAAGTAAAGAATCCAATCAAGCGACTTCCTCCTCTTCGTCGGCAGGTCCTTCAGGATCATCTGGTGAACTTGTTTACCGCTCTCTTCCCTGTCGTGAGCGAGCGGAAGTGATTTGTCCGATGCCGAAAGGAAGACTAACGATTAAGGTTTTGCAGGCTGAGAAGCTTCGTGGCGACGATTGGGGTCTGTGTACGCTTTTCACCGGAAAGCGAACGAGCGATCCCTACGTCAAACTCGCAGTGGGATCCTCCGTGTACTACACCAATACAATAAGTCGCAACTGCGATCCGAATTGGATGGCGGATGAAGGCGCTAGGCCTGCGGTGGCTAACAGCAAAGATTCAGAAGTAGCCGCTCTAGTGCAGCCATCTCACAGATCCAACGAGTTCACTTTCCTGATCGAGAATCCTGAGAGGCAGATGTGTGAGCTGACGGTGTGGGACGAAGACACATTTTCAGGTGATGATCTGCTCGCAAAAATGTCCATAAACTTGGCGGATATTGTGCGAGCTTGTTACAACGACGATCTTTCCGCCAATGCTAGACCTACAACCTGCAGCTCTACGTCACCACTCGCCTCTCCTGGGATCATGAAGCACTACGTTTCTCAAAAATGGTACGATTTGCTCACGGTCGAGGAGGACAACAACGGCGTAGAGGTCTCGCGCAAGGGCGAATCTCGGATTTGCCTTCGTTGCGAGTGGCAATGTTTGAACCGCGCAGATGTGGAGCAGTCTGGTGGATATTTCATGCGCTCCTTTGCCAAACAGTTTCTCGGGCCACGCCAGGACCGCTTTCTACTACGTCTAGGCTTGGATCACATACGCAATGTGTACGACTTCGCGGGCATAAAACTGAAAGTTAAGATGGTGCGAAGCAGTGTCGCTCATGGAGGAGGTGGTCGAGCAGGAGTTCCGTTCGCAAGTAGTACAGCTGCATCAACGGGAGCGCTTTCAAAAAGAGGCAATTGTTCTTCAACTTCATTTAGAGAGCACCAGCACGACGAAACGAATGTTTGCAAAGTGTTGCCGCCAATTGAAGACGCAGAGATTCTAGCGGAATCCTTGCGCGATATTCGCATGATGAAACGTTGCGGGATCCCTACACCGATTATAGCAGAGGTCCTGGAGGTCGATGTCGATCTGGTTGAAGGTCGCAGCTATGGTATGTGTCAGATAGACGAGGTCTTCTGCTTTCTGTTGGAAGATCCAAGACTAGAGACACTGTTTGTAGAAGTCGTTGGCGTTGGTCAAGCGAAGATATCCTTGGACTTGAAAGATGATGGTTCAGTCGAGCTCGAGGTCAAGGATGGAATTAATAAAGTTGGAGTTGCAGCTAACGCCAATCATAGAGAAGGAGATGCGAACTCGCATGGGCGCACTGCAGGACCACCTGCAGCTACGTCGTCTGAGCAGGATATGGCTGCTTCTGCCTCGCCTTCCGCACGCAGAAGTGCAATGAGAGAGAAACGTGGAGGATGTTTTGCTGGTGGCTTGACAAAGGAGGAAAAGCGGATCCAGAATGAAGCGAAGGCAGCGAAGGCGGCTGCCGCCGCTGCTGCAGCTCGCGAAGAGAGCATTGGCACTTTCAGATATGACGTGGGGCAACTACTGCGTGAACGATGCAATGTGCAGCAGATCCGAGCGGAAATCGCGCCTAGACAATGTCTACAGGGGAGCCTGGAATTGGTCATGTTTGAAGAACAGGAAGAGGAAGAGCCTTCATCTGGGATAGACAAGGAAGATTCAAAATCCACAAATTCTGTTGGAGGAAGCATGAGCGTCTGGAGGAGCCAGCTGAGGAAAAAACCAAAGAGCACAGCGTCAAGTCGCGCGCGCGCCCACTGGGGTATCGCACGCGGAAAGATGCGTGCCCTTGTGAATCTAGCTTCCGGCGGAAAATTAGCGTCCCTCCGCAGTCAGTTGCAGCTTTCAAAGCCAGCTGCTTCATATGTGCCTGAACCAGTGGACTGGGTTTCGCTGATGGTGAAAACACTGTGGCCTTATGCTACGGATCACATCGTGGACCAAATTGGCGCTGTGGCCCCTAACTCTCTTGCCGCAGCGCATCTCGTCTTCGACAATCTCCCGGCACCAGTGCCATTCGGTACTCACTGGCTGAACATGCTGCTGCGCAACTGCTGGGGAGTGGTTCAGACCGTGATCGAGGACATCATTAAGACGCAGGTTGTACCGGAAATCAAGTCGAACCTGCCAGCCGCGATCCGCGATCGCGTCGCCCTGGAACTCGTGTGTGATCTTGGTAAGAACGCGCCCCGACTGCGTTATCTCCGAGCAAGGACTCGCATGGCGGACGACGCCCCGCAACCTGGTGCGACACCGAATAAGCATGTAGACTTGTTGCTGGACATGGATGGCGACTTCAGTCAGGGCAGCAAAATTGGTCTCACTATCGGAGCGATCCACGTTGGCGTGGTCAATCTCCGCGTTCGGGGCTTGCTAGTGCTATCCCTAAACGAGCTCATCGCACAGCCCCCCTTTGTCAGAGGCGCATCCGCTTACTTCGTGAACCCTCCTGCGTGCGATTTTCGATTTGCTGGTGGCCTCGACTTCCTGCATCAAGTGAACTTGTACCCCATCGTTGAAAGCGCCATTCTGAACGCTGTGGGCGGTCTTTGTGTGCTCCCGAAGCGTATTGCCATCCCAGTTGCAGAGAGCTCAATGACAGAAATGCCTGCAGGTAGTGTGGCCGCTCCACCATCTGCGTTAGCGCCTGTATGTCGACAGGAGGTCAACAACAACTACTACAAAGTTGATACCTCCTACACTACAAGCGGTAGAAATAGTACAGCAACTTCGTCAGCATCAAGGACAGGAGGCTCCTGCGAGACATCCTCTACCCCCACAGCAACGCCATCTTCCCCTGCCGCATCTTCATCGAAGTGCTTCTTCCCCGATTTGGTGTCTCCGATGCCTAAGGGTATCTTGAAAGTTGAGATTCTAGACGCGAAAAACCTTCGAGGAGACGATTGGAATTTTCCGTTTTCTCTTTGGAGTGGAAAGCGTGACTCCGATCCCTACGTCCAGGTTTCTCTGGGCGCTCATGTGCATCGCACGAAGACCATCAACGCAAATAGTCGGAGTCCCAATTGGAAGCTTCAGGCTGAGTTGGATGCAATGAAAGACCAGAAAGCGAGTTGGTGGAGCTGGTTTCTACAAGTAGGTCGATGTAAAAGTCGCGCAGCTATTGACACTGACGCACAGGAACTCTTGAACAAGCAGAAGGACGAAGATAATGTCTTTGTTTTCTTGGTCGACGATCCGAGCATCCAGACCTTAAGCTTGCAGATTTTCGACGACGACACGCTCTCGGGAGACGACAAGATTGCCGAAACTTCCGTAGTCCTTCGCGATTTGCTGGATTGTAAAATCGGGATCCCAGACCCCGATGAGGAGGGCCGGGAGGAATCAGGTGAGAAGCGAGGTGTAATGACTACGGTCTCGCCTTTAGAATATACCAAACTGGAGCTGGACGAGTGGTTACGAAATAGAGGGTTTCAAGGTTTTCTGCGCGACACTCTCCCGACCAATTTTCAAAGCATTCTGGCAGTGCAGCCACGACGACCACGATCAAGTGTCTTCGACGATGACGATAGCACAACAACGGGTGGAGATGACTCGAGTTCTTCTTCGTCATTTTCGGATGAAGAGGAAGAAATTACACGACAAGAGGAAGATGCTGGAAACCTCGATGACATTGATAAAGCGCACCAACAGGAGCATGTATGTTTAAATCTTCGTCAAAAAAGAAAGCATCTGAAGAAAAAGGCCTCACTCACGCCGGATGAAATTGAACAGAAATATAGCGTGCAAAATGCGGTGAAAGTTGCACCTAGAAAAACCGTCGTCACGCGCGTTTTCTTCGGGCCTCCTTCTACATTGGCGGCAATCGGGGTCAAGGACTTGCTCATTGAATACACGTCGGTTTTCTCTCGACTGCTTTTCACTTGCGTGTCCGGTAGCTTGCAAGCCGTTTTTTCTGGAGGCGCGGTGTGGCCTGCCGACTTCTCCTGCTGGTGCCTTATGCGCCATCAACGCTGGCAGCAACAAGTAGAGAAAGGAGTTCCTTCATCTATGACCGATGATCAGAAGAAATCTGTTGAGAACCGTAAAGAAAACGCGATGTCTGACAAAGCTTTTTTCTCCGCATCCACCTCACCCTATCGTTTTGGTTCCCGCAGTGAAGCAGACTCCGTAGAGATCGTTTCCGCGACAACAAACTTGATCCAAGTTCCGGTCTTCGCGGCTCCAGATGTCGAAGAAAACTACCGTGGGTCGGTGTTAGAAAAAAACCGACACCCGGTCACTGACACTCGCGCATTCACACGAGAGCTGAAGATGACCACAATTTGCTCTGATGATCGCGGAAATGAGATTGCCGAGGTAGACCTGGTAGGAAGACAGTTGGTTAAGGCTATGCGCGGAGCTGCGAGAGATTTCAACTCGGCACAGGAGGATGCAAAGATGAACAAGAAGGAAAATGACGCTGGCGTGGTCGAGGACAGCATTTTTCCTAACGATCGCTTAGACGACGACGAGGGCATGGACAAGCTTGTGGACAACTTGGCTAGCATGTCCAGATCCAGCAACAGCATCAGGATCAAAATTAACGACGAGGACGATGCAAAGTCATCGTTCTCGAGCAGCACAAGCTCCTCGCCAAACAGATCAACAAGTAAGTCTCAGAAGGTGTTGAGTAGAAGTGGTAGTGGAACCAACCATCGCCGTTCTTGTTGGAGGTCGTTTGGGCGTTGCGGACGCTGCTTGCGACGCACTGTCCACTGCGTTCGCAAGGCATGGGTCTCGCCGCGAAAGTTCCGTGAGAGTCTTGTCGCTTTTGCTGTCGCTCCGAAGGTAATTGCCTACTCGGTTTGCAGTGTGTTTTTTCTTTTTGGCCTGTCGCATTTTTTCTTTACGACGATGTTTTTCGTGACCCTGGCCTGCGGGATTTACGTCGGCATGTTTGACATCGGAGAGGAGGTTGACGCTGCTTTGAGGCGTCTTCGTATCCGTTCAGACAACGCACTACAAATCCCAGCTTTGCACGACGCTCGACTAAGGATACGTGTTAGCTTTCGACCGCTAGTAGTTCAAGCATCGACAACGAGAATGGCAAAACGACAAACATCTGAGAAAGCTGGTAAAGAAGTTGTTGATGCTCGTGCTGCTGCTGTCCGACCTTCGAAATTCTTCCAACCGAAGGCTCACATTACAAAAGCGGTTCCTTATTCGCCATTCTATCCTGCTAAACTTCCACACCCCTCCCCGTTCGTGCATGGAGTGAAGAGGCACAATGCCGCTGCCATACTTCGTGTTTCGCTCGAGAGCGTGCAATCGTTGTGCAACGTGAACCAGTGTAAAGTTAACGTCAAAGCAAAAGTTCTCTCCGCAGCTCTTGAGAAAGCTTCATCGGCGGATTCCTTCCCGGCACCGCTACGAAATAAAGCGCATGCGTCTTCTTGCAGTGATAGTTGGGAATGGTGCAAAACTTCCGCTACAATCGCAGCTCGATCACCGCTGTTGGACAACAATTTTCTGAACGCGACAGTGACACATGACACGCCCACAGATGATGCGGTGCGTCTGAAAGAACGGGAAACCAAGCTCCGCGAGAAAATCCAATTGCTGTACCAGTGCGCTGACCGCAATAACGCCAGAACAAGTCGCCGCTTATCGAGGTGCAACTCACCAAGAGGAGCAAGATCAGAAGATCAGATGAATCTATCAAAAACAAGCACGGACGCAGAAGAACTAGCGGGAAAAAGCGCGAAAGTCCCTAGTAGTTCTTCTAGGAAAGGTGACATGACCAAGGCGATCACATTAGAGACGATCGCCGATGCTTGTAACGTGAGCGAGGACCTAGTGCGCGCCTATGGTCGCACCCTTTTTAACGATCCTACAGGACACATTGCTATCCCCATACTTGGTGCCGACAGGGATAAGGAATTCGCAGAAGATGAAGATGCTCCGCCAGTCCTAAGTGACGTGACTTTCAGTGAGTGCTTCACCTTCCTGTTGGAAACTAAAGATAGCGATGTCAAGAGTCTAAAGCCAGACATACGCGTACGGCTCGAATTTGAGATTGTGAAGATTGCACCAGAAGTCTCTGCTGGGGCCAATAATAAGGGAATTTCTAGAACGTCAAGTTCTTCGTCTTCAAACACTGATCAAAAAACGGCTGCCGTGGCGACCTCTAGTACCAGTAAAAAAAGAACTAAAAATCCAACGAAACCTGTCGACAGTGTCTTAGGCCATGTCGCGTTTGATATCAACCTGCTTCATAGCCAGGACAGCTTATCATTGGTTCTCGATGGCCATACTGTGGAAGTCGTAGATGATCGACCTTCAAGCCCTGCTTCAACCGCGAATGATAGGAAACAATGTCAGACCAACAAGGTCGAGGGCAAGAATAATTCTTGTAGGTTCCTCTTAACTCGACCAGAAGCCGCCTGTACGACTAACGGTGACCCACTACAAGCATTGGAAGAGGAAATATGCAGTGATATTATCCCGAAGCTCAGTGGCCATATCCAAGTGGCTCGATTGGAAAATGACATAGTCTTCGAAAAGTTTCAATAAACATGTTTTCCCTCTGAGTCTTAGGCTTATCCCTTCATGCAGTAATGAACATGAATTCCGAAATAAAAAAGAATCGATGGCGATGCCCATCTTTATATCTTCCATCGTGTACGAATGCGATGTGCTATTTGAGCCCCTTGTACAGTCCAAGTTGATGTCTTCGCTACTTGCGTTTTTTACGTTTCCCTTCCTTCTTGCTCAGCGTCCTCCTCTTGTACGAATATCAAATCAATAGAGGACAGCTCTGGAGATCTTCTTACCTATAGGCTAGGGCATTTCCTAAGATGGATGATGGCTTGCATGGATTGCGATGCATTGCATGGATGTCATGGCCAGGAGGAACGAGGAAGGCGCGACCTTTTTAAAGGGGAAGCACGCACTTCGCTGCTTGAACGCAGCGCCCCGCCTGACAAGGCCACAGGATGGCCGCTGCCTTGCTTGTCTTGTTGTGCTCTCCCCGCCCGCGGTATACGTTTACCACCATTTTCAAATACGGGATCAGTTGCGACTGTGTTGCCGTTCCATGTTCTCTGAGGACGGTCTTCGCCTTGAAGTGACATGCGCTCCTAACCACACTACCCTTTAAGGCTTACCCGGGACAACGTCAAGGTTTACTAAGTAAAGATCTTCTCCTTCAAAGGAATACCTCAGCTCACAGCTGCGAGAACATCATGTCATGTAAACTGAGCACTCAGTATCCCACGTCAAGCTTTCTCTTTCACGATTCCTCCTCGATGAAAGTCAAGAGCCACTTTTTGAAGTGGCATCAGCGCGTGTTGCGTGTGCCACGGCACAGACGTGTTCGATTGAGAAAGCATGGAGAAAAGAAAATCAGTCTCGATCACAGAAAATGTCAAAGACATTTTGTTTTGGATTTGTGTTTCATCTTTGACTGGCCAACAAAATTCAAGTTGTGTCTTCCATCTTCACCGATATCTGTACCGTGGATCCCGATCCCGGCTTGCTTTTCTACTAAACCAGAATCGATAAGTGCTTCGAAAATAACTCTTCTAGAGTCGTTTGGGTTTCGATTATACCTGAGAAGAATCAACTTCACTTGTCGTCTTCTACTTTTTACTCTAGCCTCTAGGTTTAGCTCTTGAGATATTCAGTAGCCAGCCCGAACATAAGTCTGATAAAGAAATGTTCTTGAACAAAGAAATTGCAGACTAACTATCGTCGACTAAATTTCTTGACAATAGATACTTAAGTACATGGATCTTGTTCCTCCTCTGCCTCATCTTACACTTAAACTTCCTCCACTGTAGTTTCAAAATGCAGTTTCAGACTCCCGCCACTCCTGCGTCAAGCAGCACTTCGACGTCTGCCGCTACATCAGGAGCAAGTGCGCTGCGACAGGCAATTTTGGCAGGGGGTCATATGCGCAAGCATCCTGTCGGGAATTGCATGCGGACTGCTCCTGTTGACTATGTTGTTGCGAACCTGAATGGCCTAGATTTCAAGATTGGAAACAACGATGTCGGGATCTGGCTTCTCTCACTGAAGGAACTTCGTGCTAATCTCGCAAGCCACCGTAAAAAATTAGAGCGTCTCGGAGTTGTCATGTCCTCCTCCAGAAGATCCGGTGCAGGAACATCATCTTCAGCGTCATCGTTGGATGTTGCTTCTAAAAAGGTGGGAACAGTAACGCGCCTCCCGCCAGCTGGTGCAGCAACTGCAGCGGCGACACCATCAGCTCCGGTGAAGCGTTTAATGGTACTGCTGCTGTTCGACGATCCCTTGTGCGTGGGTCGGTCACTCGAAGCCTTATTACAGGATTTCACGATGGAGGTTATCTTTTCGGACTTCAGTCTCTACTGTGCGCGATCACCGCTTGAGGCGGCATTGGCGATTGAAGATCTTTTCTCGGTGCACAGAAAGCCACGCAGCTTCCTACGAGGATACCGACAAGCAGCAGCTGGAAATGGAAGGGCTGCTATCTTAGGTAAGAGTGGGAAGCAAACTGAGACGGAGACCAACAGAGAGAAATCCAACTCCAGAAACCGTATCCAGGGAAATGAGCCGAATTTTGCTCATGGGAATCAACATGTGACACCGTCTGCATCTTCAGCTGCTGTGTCAACTTCGATGAGTGGCGGAGGTGGTACTATGCCGACACAATCGATTGGAACCACTAGTACCGGTAATGCTGCTGCAAGAATACCAGTTATACAACATCACCAAGACTCAGGATCATCAAGTACGACCATACTTTCTCCTGGGTCTGCTGGTCCTACGGCACCTGTACCAGGCGCTGACGACGACCAGGAGGAAAATGAAGAAGCATTTTTTTGCCGAGAAACTGCATTGGGTATTTTGATGCAGTGCAGAGATGTGTCCCGTATGGATGCAGAAACGGTTCTGGATCACTTCAAGAGTCTGGCAAACGTCGTTCAAGCCCCACAGGCCGATTTGTTGCGAGTTCCAAATTGGACAGATAGAAAGGTTCGGAATTTCTACGAACTTTTTCATTCTCAGATTTTCGCGTTTTAGCTGTTCAAAATTATGACGTTCTTCTATATCAGATGATTGGAGAGCGAGAGGACTTGCATTTGCACGTCGATCGACCTTCCAGTAGCGGGCTCAGGCTGTCTTGCCGAGTAGTACGATATGTTGATGTTTCGAAAATTATATTTGCAATTAGCAAAACCAAAACCAAAACTCTGAAGAACCCGGAATGATCATGATCATCGCAAACGTGATCCTGTGTCCGAGTAACGCAGGTTAAGATTCGAATTCGAGGGAAGATGTCCATGATAAGTATGCTATCGGTCTTTCTGTTGATATCTGTCGCATCGAAATCGGTAACCATCACCCAACTTCTGGTAGACAATTATACAGCCCCGAAAACCCGTAGGCTTATCATCAAAAACTTGATTTCATGTTGATTGTAGTACAACTACGGATACGACCTAGGTGTATAGTTGCAGTAGGTAGAGTTTGCATGAATCTACACAATGAGACATGAGAAACGATTATCTACTACGTACTAGGACGCTGCAGGAGAGGTATATCATATATGGTTCGAAACTATTTTTGGGGTATAGATTCTTGTCATCGTGATTTTCTCCGCTGCGCTTGCGCTACGCTGGCGGCAGGGTAGTTGTGATTTAATTCTCCCGTTGTTTTTGTTAATGGAAAATAAATAATGATGACTCAGTGAAGATTTCTACTTCCTCTTGATGGGGCGAGCCTTTGTTTCCTCCTTTCAATTCCTGGAAGTTTCAATCCTGACACACCACCAAGCGGATTCTATTTCTTTGCGCGGTCGATCGCAACGACGATCCCACGAAAAACGACAACGGCGCTCAGAACAATAGGAGCAGCTTCTACTTGTACGAGCCTGGACCTGGTGTAGTAAACAAGACACTACATATACATGCTGGATTTGTCGGCAGCAACAACATCAAAAAAGAATCAAGAAGATGTCGCCGCGTGCTGTGAGTCCTGGTACCCCGATACGGATCCCTGAGGGTAACCCAAATTTGACGAACGTGTCGACGATAGCATCCTCACCAGCCTATTCCATCAAGGGACGATGGAAAGCGGAGGTGTACCGACCAGGCCTCGACGGTCCCGGCGGCATTCTGGACATGAGCAAGATGACCTACGTGAGCAGCAAGCGGGCACGGATAACGGGAGCAAAGTTCAGCATGGCATCCCGATTTCCCGGCACAAGTAAGTACGCAGGAAGGACTGCAGAGGTAGGCACGTACTTCAAGGAGAAAATACCTACATACATGGGCAATGACAGTAGTGCAGTAGCATGGGCCAAACACGACACGGAAGAACAAGCGAGAAAATCGCGAGAGGGCAAGTTGCGATATCCACCAGTTTACGACACAAGGAACAATACCGTGAAGTTCCATCACACCTATCGCGAGCAACTCTGTCCAGCGTTCACGAAGAGACATCACGTGTATCTCAGCCTCACAATATCAAGAAAATTTGAATTCGTTATCACATCAGTTTTCGACAGTGTTAATACACAACTCACAGTCAGAGGACAGTCACACACGAGATAGAGAAAACTCTTTTTAGTTGAACATGAAGCTACTGTAGTACACATTCGATTGCATGATGATACTTTCTAATATCAGTCTACAACACAGGTTCAATGATGTGCCAGCACACCGAATGAAAGAGCCAGGCTTCGACAAGTATACGCCGAATCACAAAGCACTTATTGGAGCGGTTCCCTTGGGTATTGTGCCAAAGGAGAAACGATCAGGATTTCCCGTCAAAGAACCGAGGCCGGGCGACCCGACAACAGGCCCAGGAAAATACCCGATACCGAGTACTAATGGCTTTTACTGTTTTTGTTTTCGGCGCACTAACGTGAAGGTGTTGCGGTTGGTTGTGGCTAGGGCTGATTTATCAAGAAAATTAATGATTCAGGACTTTTTGTTTTACTTAATTCATTGTAGTACTCTCAACACCTCGATCTTGATGACCCGCCCCGACTACTTACCTCTTTGTCCAGGTACTTTTCATCAAAGTGCGGACAAGCTTAGTGACTGTCGGTTCAAACGTAGTGCGCGTTATACACTCGCGGGAGCTCCATGGCGGACGGATGCAAAACGACGGGAGCCTTCGCCAGAGGCGGCAACCACTATCGATGCGCCGTTCAATGGCGCAAGTACGATTTTTGGTTGGCGAAAATAGTACTGGCGCTCTTGCCGAAACTGCCACCGCGATTGTGATAATCGTGGTTGCACTTCTCGACGCGTTGTATAATATAACAGGAGCAACTAAGCACGGGCGAATCTTCGACCATTCACCAATCGTTCTTGAAGAAAATCTTGTGAGCAGCTACCGATGCCCCATCAGATGACGTTGTCATAGGAGTATCTGTCTTCATTTGGACTTGGGTCCAATAAATAGCATCGACTGACTACAGTGACAGTAAAATTGTACTAATAACAATCGATTTATCATCTCGTCTTTCCATTGTAACTATTTTATTTAACTTGTACCAGCACTACAAAGTCTATTGTAATGTAGCAAAGAGAACATTCACCCACGTAAACACATACATGTATATATGCACAGTTAAAAGATGTTATAGGGGGAATGTTCGTTTGAGTACAACTAAGTTGTCATTTGTAACAATGGTCTTTACTCTCAAATAAATTAGAATCAGTAGTTTGTTGTTGAATAAAACAGGTCCAAAGTTTTTCAGTGTGCGCTTCGCAAAACCAAAATCATTTAGTCAGCCTTCTTATTCATAAACATTTATTCCTAGAATGGTAAAAACGACTGATCGAAAAAAGACAGAGTCGGGAAAGTCTTCCTTCGATAGTCAAGTCGCATCATCACACAATTGGTTCCAACCGAAATGAATACAGATTGATATCGATGCTCCTTACGAACACAACATACAATGCTCATCCATGCTGAGCATCAGAATGAACGTCAAAGGATATATTTAGCATCAAAGGGTATTCATCAACACAGTGAATGACGTGGTCATTCGACCAAGACAACTTTCGTTGCACTCGACCGAGAATGTGTGCAGGGCGACGTGCGTTTTCCGAAAATTGTCAACGCTCGCTACAATTTGTTGCTTTGATGGATTTATTAGTATCCATGGAGGAGATGACAGGAGCTCATCAAAATTTGCTACGGACATGTTACAAAATTGTAGATCTAGATTTACTAGTACGACGATAATCAGTTATTTTGATTAGGTCAGGTACAGGTTACCCACACCCTGACGACTTCACCTTCAGTTGAAGATGAAAATGCCTTCAACAGTATCGGCTGCGCAGTCGTTTTCTCGCAATGCTGTTGCCGGTGCTTGCTAGAGGTATGGCGGATGCAGTGAATATGCAAGCGTAATAAACGTCATCGTTATCAAGATGTGCAAGTGCATGTTGTACGTGCTTCTCCTGCCCCTCGTCCTTCATACAGGGCAGTCAACCGGTACCCCGTTCATCGGGGCTTCCACGAGGGCGACGCTCGCTTCGGCTTCATTGTACAGCGTCGAAATAATGTCACTGGACGAAGTGTCAGCGCCAGGCAGCAACCCAGGAGCACAAGCACAAGTCCAAGGCCCTTTACATGGCCGGGGCACGAATTCGAATTCAACATCGAAGCATCCTGACTTACTACATGAGGAGCACAAGGAAGAAAACCTGGAGCAGCAGCATAAAAACCAACATCAGATGAACCATACCGCAGCACACTCTACTTCGGTTGGAACGGCCACCACACCTTCTTCAAGATCCACCTTTCCTCAAGGCAAACGTTTAGCGTTCCATCTAGTCGCCGAGCCCTCACGATTGCCACACGTTGAGCGCGTGCGACAGCTTGAGCGCGTGATAGTCCTCAATTATCCTGAGGCTGGACTCGTGACACAAAGCGACTATTCTCCAGATAATCGACGCGGCTTGCATACGGTGGTTTCGTGGTTAGCACGAAGCCTCCTAGACTCCCCATCCGATACGGAGTGGTTTATTTTCCTGGAGCCTGGCTCTGAGCTCATACTTCGGCAAGAGGGAGGTGGTGCTTTTTCAGATGGAGGCGAGACTGGCCAAACCAACAACAAAAGAGGAGCCTCTGGTAGCGGAGACAAGAAAGGGAACAACAAAAAGTCAGTGTCTTCCGAACTAAAACTCATTGTGGCCGAACTTGAGAAAGAATCAGTAGCGCGCGTTGGCATTATCGAGGGAGCATCTTTACATGTGCAGCAACAAGGTCATGATCAAAAACAAAGTAGTGCCTCCACTACCTCTCGTCTAGCCTTCTTAGCGAATGAGCTTACTTCGGATGCCGGTGAGCTCCTGATCATTCACCACTACAATCAGGCAGCGATCGACTATCCCGTTGACTACAATTTTGCGTTGAGTCGACCACTGGCAGAAGCCTTGGTGGCAAATGAACGCAGACTGAGGGATAAGATTGATTTTGTCATCGATCCCCTCTACGAAATGATGCAAATGATAAGCAAACTAGGCGACGACGTAGCATTCATGCGGAAACACGCTTGGCCTATCCAGGTACGAGAGTGGGGAACAAAGGAGATCGCCGGTAACGAACAGGATATTGCCGCGCGTATTTTAGGCGATAATGCTAGTGCTACGCCTGGTGTCGTGACAAGTCCAAAACTAAATCCTCACTCTAGGGGCTCAACCTCGTTGCCTTCGACTTCTTCTCTATTTCGGGGCAGCACATTTCGCTTCGACCTCAGTGAGAAGACGATTGTGATCGCAGTGAAGACCACTGCTGCCAATTTACGCAAACGAGTGGCCTCAGTCTGGCGCAGAGCATTCTCCTTACCAGAGGCGTGGGTTCGAGGGCCACAGAAACTCGAGATTGTCTACATGCTCGATCAAGAGACTGCTCTGTCAGATGCAAAGCTGGCTTTTCTGCAGACTTTCGAGGATCATACAAGTAGTGGCATCTTATCTTTTCATCCGAAGCCGGCGAAAGCTGCTTCTGAAACTAGTGGTGATGGTGCTACGACAAGGACAAAGATGTCTCGATCAAGCCACGAAAAGCAAGTCCGCACGGTCTTGCCAAAGCTTATTGTCGAAGAAGAAGATGTTGACGAGGAGAATGCGGAGATAAATGTGCCACCAAGAAATCCTAATCCGGCAAAGTTCAATACGAAAACTAAACGCTTCTTTTTCGAAGTCGTCTCAACAGTTTTGGCTGCAGACAATTCGTCTTCTGAGAACGCCTTACTTGAATCTCTGCCATCGGACTTGATACGGCACGTGGAATTGTATCGTTCAGAACTAGAGAAGTCGAGGAAGGACGACGAAAACAATGAAGAAATAGAAAACCACCTAGAGCTAGGGGACGAGGAGGAGCATTTGGACTATCTTTTTTCTGATAGTGTCAGAGAATCGTTCGTGATCTTGCCCATCAAGAACACAAAGCGTGGTCATTGCGAGAAGATGACTTCCATCTTGAAGCATCTCGCGGTGACATCAGACTCAGACCCTGCAGAAGTGGAACTACCTGCTCAGAACGGCAGTACAGCAGCTAGTGCTTTTTTCACAATTTTCGATTTCGCGTTTGTAGCCGACGATGATACTTTGCTTAATGTCCCAGCGCTTTTTGACGCGTTCAAAGAGTTCGACTCGAATCAAGACCTGTATCTCGGCGAGCGCTATGGCTATGGCATACAGACTATTTTGCCTAAGAGGAAGGGCAAGGATGCGTCAGCCCAAGATGAACGTCTTCGTGTTTCAGGTTACGACTACATCACGACCGGTGGCGGCTTGGGTTTGACACGCAGCACAGTCTCGAAGTTTCGCGATGGGTATGGGCGCGATTTCCGGTGTCGTGACCCCGATACCCCAGACGATATGGCCCTCGGCCAGTGGTTTTCGCACCATTTGCGCATACCGGCAACGCACCACCCGGGTTTTCGTCAACGACGACCACAAGACTATCCGTCTGCCTATCTTTTCGCAGGTGGGGAACCGATTTCCTTTCACAATGTCTTCTCTCGAACGCATGACCCTCTGCGATCAATCTGGTACCCCTACTTGGTGCGAGAAGCGTGGAAACAAAGACTTCGAGACGAACAGGAAGTGGAAGTAAACGAAGAACAACAGATGTTAGAAGCAAACAAGGGCACAACAATTGATGACGAACAGCATGAATCGAGCATTAAGACGCACAATGAACGAAAGGAGGTTCCTTTCCTTCTTGAGATTTTTCACTCCATTGAGGGCAGCAGCACCAGTAGGTTCAATCAGCAACAGAGAACTCGTAAGTCTCGCGATACAGCGGATTTGTAGACACTGCGCGTAAAAACAGAGCCGATATTAACAAAGTCGAAGGCCGAACAAGTAGACAAAGACGAACTTGTAGAAGCAAGTTTTCTTGACCAATGTTCTGTGAAGGGAGGTCGTCTCTCTGAAGCCGCTTGTACGCAAACCCCACCTTCTAGTACAGATGAATGAAACAGAAAATACCCGAATCCCTGAGAACGAAGATCGCATACATAGCATGGTGTGCATACTTACACCGATGAAACGAAGTCACAAGTTTGTGATCATTGCGTAGGCATGCGTATTATCGCCACACTATCCGTGTGTATTTGTAAGTTGTCGCCCCATTAAATGTTTGCAATTGTGAGAAAACGAAAACTGGCGCTGGTGTCATTTGTCACAATTTTCTCTGGTGCAGGCGCACTCACGCCCGATATCGCCCACGCCGCGCTTTCGCCGCTCTGCTGCGGAGACAACTTCTGCTGCGCCATTACCGAGGGAACCAACATTCCAACCTGCTGGGGCGGGAACTCGATGTCTTTGAACTAGTCTGGCACGACTTCGAAGGCCTTGACCTGCGGTGGGAAGGCAGTTATGGGCATGGATGCCAACATGCGCATCAGTTTTTACATGGGTTTGAATGGATACGACCCGGATTACGCAGCGGGGAGTGGCCTCATCGGCATCGAAGTGAAAGATGCTGACCTGAGCTTCTGGGGTGGCGCTGTCATTCGGGTCGACGGAACGGTCACGCCCTGGGGCCCAAGTACCGTTTACTGCAACAGCGCGACGTCCATCGGCTGCCAACCCGCCGCAACGGGTTCAGCCACCACCACAGTTATTTTCGCGCTCGCAAATGTGCCGTCCGCCACGAACTTTGACGCTATCAGTTGCGCGGGCAAGCGCGGGAGCCAGTGGTGCTGCGATTCCAGAGGAACGCGGCAGGTCTGACGTTCTTCGGCGATAATCGAGGGACCTACACTCCCACTACCGCGCAGCTCGCGAATGTGAACTATCCTGTACACCAAATTTCCGGGGGAGTGCATTTCGTGGCGGTACTGGGAACCAGTGGGCAACTCGGAGTGTACGGGGGCACGAGCGAAATTGCCGGCGGCCTGTTTAACACCAAACCCGCGGGCGTTTCGGCTTTGAGCATGGGACCCGTACTGGCGACCGAAGTGTACGCGCAGGTTTCCGCGATGAACTTCGGTGTATATGCCCTCAAAGCGGATGGCGCTCTGCATGCGTGGGGGAAGAGCTATTCCTACTCCGTCGCCGGCGGGGGAAGCGTCGACATGGCCCAGTACCCGGACGGTGTCTCGTGGAGCCAGCTCGCAAGCGGCAGTGCCGGTGTGGACGCGCACTTTTGTTCCTTTCAGGCGGACAAGAAGCCCAATTGGTGGGTGCCCAATACTTACGCAGGACAGGTGGGTCGACGGAGTACGTCGGGGGTGAGCACGGCTTACCTGCACCCAGCGTTGCGCGAGGCAGTAGTCGCGACGGCCATTCCACCTCCGCCCTCCACGCCGTCTCCGACCACGGCCGCAAGTTCTTCGGCGGCGCCGTCGGCGGCTGGGCTTCGTGGTCTAGTTACCAACGGTGTGGTCGTTGCCCTCCTATCCATTTTTTCGACGCAATACCAACTGTGCGGTATGTAGTATGGCGTGGTTGAATTTTCGTGGCGACAGACCGAAGGGTCTGCGCTGCACCGCGTTTCGGTCAGAAACCGGGTCTGTATCATTGCCGGAGGTAAACGATATATCGGCTATGTTGAAGCCGCAAGGGGGCGTCGTTGTCCTCTATGTTCGTTGATCAAATAGTATGTGTGCAGTATTACTAATAGAAGTATATACAGATTTCATCTAGAGATTCGGAATTGCAAATGAAGTTTCTGAAAAATCAACTTTGATTGCTAGAAAGAAGAAGATCTCGATACAAGTGATCTCAACCTCAACTTGACAGGAAAATCAAAGATCAATCGATCCTACGATCCTTCCAAAGAAAGTGTCAGATCTCAAGCAGATCAATGAAAAGTGTCACATATCCTCGAGAAAGCTTGATCAATGAAAGGCGTCCCAAAGAAAGTGTCAGATATCCTCGAGCTCAAACAGATCAATGAAAAATGATCCAAATCTAGAACCCCAAGTTTAGTACATCGAGTTGTAGTTTTGGTTTTCTTAATTCCCTCAAAGATATCTTCCTGTTTTTCAATCGTGATCATTTTTGCAAGTCAATCTCAATTACCAAAGGACAGTGCCACTTTTGACTTGATTCGACGAAACACTAAAACAGCAACTATCTGAAAAAAGCTCCTAGGAAGTTGTTTTGAAAGCAAATTTATGAACGACCGCTACCACAACAAGTACGATAAGTATATGCGCATACGCATAGCCACATACCTATCACTATTTTCATTACACATAGTTTTCCTGTTGACGAAAAACAAAAAGCCCGAAGTTTTTCTACTTGAAGCTAGCTCATCAATTTCCCTTGAAGAATTTCGTTTTCGTTTAAAAGACCAATAACACACCATTAACTAGAAGGAAACCTTTGTCGTTACTCCCTCCCTAGTGCAACATATTGTTTGATCCTCTCATTTCACACGGGATACGAACCACACGCACATCGACTAGAACTAGAAGGAAATAAGTAGTATCTATAAAGATATCACGAGACAACAAGTGAAGCGCTAAGCCTACCAAGTAGAACTCAACATAGATTTTCACACAAGAACAATTAATTTAGCAGTTAGTTAGATTTGCCTCCCTCACAACCCAGCGCAAAAGCTAGCATCAAAGAAAAAAATGTCGTCTTTGTTTGGAGCACTCACGGATACCGTGAATGTCTTTTTGGGTAATGGACGGGCCCAGGCGGATGGTAGTGATCCTATCATAACGCGGTCCGACATTGTGAAAGAAGGATGGTTATCGAAGGAGTCGCGCAACGTTCGCGAGTGGAGGAGAAGATACGTCGTGCTCACGAATGATTGTACTTTTTGTTTTTACTTGTTGTAGTTACAGTAATATATTTCTTGTTGTATGTTTGTATTGTTCTGGTATCTATTCGGTAGCCTGATTTTGATCATAAGGGAAAATAAGAAGAGAATCCTTGTGATCCAATTCAGACAGGTTACCAAATACCGAAGCCATTCAATTCTGTTCATAAACTTTTTCAGGTCTCGCCACATTCCGTTCTGGTCCTGAGGAGATGTATCGGTGGTCGGACGCTACCGAACTTGTGATGTTCGGACAGATGATGACCGTACGATCTGCAGACCACGAAACCGGCAAGGAGAACTCATTCTGCATGCAGAGGCAAAAGGACGGCAAATATTTCTACTTCTTGGCGGATTCCGCAAGCGAAAAAGAGTCTTGGGTCGGCGCGGTAGGTCGCGCGATGGTACGAAGAACCGTGATGATAGACGGAAACAACGGGCGCGATGACGATGAGGAAACCGACTACGCGGATGAAGCGCCAATTGCGTCGCCACAAGCTCGTGGAAGCAGCGTCTATGGAGGCTTCGCGCACGATTCAGGGTCAACGTCATTCAATCCTAATGACGATCATCAATATGGACATGGAGCAACTGGCGATTATGGAAATAGCGGACATATTGCACATGTTGACCCCACGCAATCGTATCGCTCGAGTGGATATGCGTCCAGTGATGCGCCTGTGGTCGCTACTCGTCGGGAAGATTTTAGATATCCACCAGGCAGCTCGGGCACTCGAGACGTCTATGCGGCTGACGACTTACCCGACATTTAAGAAATAGCGTCTGTTTTTGCCTCTATTCCAAACGGACTCCCGTCTGGAGTCATGATATAAAAGACAAAAGAACGCAGCAAAGCCTGTAGTTCATTACATACGGTTTTCTTCATCTTCGCGCATCCTTTCCTCCAGCAGCGATTGACACTCATTTCTGAGCTACTCCGGGCCCCCGATGTTGTTACTTTCTCTTTCGTTACATTAGACGAATGAATTCAATTACTCATTTAATACCATGATGATCATGATGATTCTCCTCCGCGTTATCGTGTTTGGTTATCATTCCGCTCCTTCTCGGGTAGGAATTGCTTGCATCGGATTTGATTCTTATATATCAATGTCGGCGTTGTCTTAGTCTTCATCTTCCACTTAGAGATACTTGGCGACCTGCCCCTGCTTATCGTACTCCCTCTACCCGGCATAAGAAGTATGATCATATTGGCCTTGCGGTGTGTTCCGCAATCTTCGGCTTGATAAATTATCCCCCCGCCCTTTGCGTTCGCCGAGCATAATATCCCTATCATAATGACACACCACAGATAGTATACTTTTTTCATCGAGTCAGTTGTTGAGACACACCACGCAAACGCTAGATTTATGAATGATCCCCCAGCTCGTTAGTAGAGCTATTGAAATTGATGAGTCTTAAACACGTAACAGATTACGTGCCCTGGTGTGCATGCCAATACTCACCAGGCCAATTCAAAGGGCCAAGTGTCTTTTGCCTTTGCGTGTTCTCATACATCAGGAATTTTGAAGTATTTGATGTGCTTTTATGTGTATGTTGTTTGTTTCAGAGAGTGGGCGAACAAACAGACGGTGATCAGTGCAACGTTAGAAACTACGACTACCTCTACCAGCTGCTTTCTGTAATCACATGATATTCATCAAAGCGCGATAGGTGAAGATAAAGAAGTGCTAGAACTAGAAGATTATACAAATAGAACAAGAGGGACACAGAACTATCAAGATGTTTGAGTCGGGATTTTTGCAGCCGCATTCGTTAGGCAAGCTAAAGGCAGATAACTACACGCGCTGTGCTCCGCGTATTGAGATTCACTACCTAGATGCGGATCCACAGTATACTGCGGAAAGAGTGTCGAAAGGCCCACACACCACGCGCAAGAGTGACAGGCCTCCAGCACGACACGAAGCTGACAGTTCGAGCTTCGACAAGCACGTGCAACATTTTTACGGACATCAAGAGCAAGCACGACAAGGACAGCGACATGAAGTACCACACACTACAGTGCTAGGCGAAGGGCATGAAGGGTGGTGTCTTGTGTCGGAGACTCTCGATTCTTTGTGTGTAGATGAGGAGTATAAATTGCTCGAAGGTGAAGTGCGCGCGTTCAACAACCGGCACCAGCCTGAGGATGACGGCGCAGCAGTTCTTGCTGGAATCACGCGCCATTCTCTTACGCCTGAAAGTCTTCGGACGGTACTCTCCATCCTACCTCCAGCTCCGAGTTTTTTGTCTCGACCAAATCCAGCCTCGATAGTCGTTTATCTCTGCTGTCACGCACTTCCAGGCGGCAAACTTGTTGTTGAGGCTGACGGAGCTGAAGATGTGGAGGTGGCTCAAATACAAGTTCAAGATAAACAAGGGGTCGGAGAGCGACTCAGGACTGCATCTTCGTTGCGTCAGCCTGAGATCGTTACGCTTTCCGATTTTATTCACGTACAGGAAGATGTTTCATGGAGGAGACAATCACAAGCGGACATTTCCACCGGAATTCTTCTTCCACGCGTGCTTGTTCTTGGATGCTGCCATTCCAGCGGCGACACTGCGCGTGAGTGTCTTCGTGTCTTCGATTGCGTTGTCGCTATAGAAAAAGGCATAGGAGATACGATAGCGCTTAGTTTCAATGCGGTCTTTCTCAAGGAGTTGCTTGCTGGAAAGAATGTTAGGGAAGCATTCGGAAACTCAATACAAAACTTGCGACGGAAACACGAGTCAAATTTGCAAGAAAGCGCATCTGTAAAGATTTCAGACTCAAGTCCTAATGCAAGTACCAGTTCAACTTCTGATATAGATCGTACTCGTAGGGAAAATCACCAGCATGAAGAACTACGGACAGCCTGCGAAACTGTGGAAAGTCTCGCACGTTTTGTTTTGTACAGCCGCATGATTGACGGTGTCGCCTACTACGACAAGGATTTGGAAAACATGCGTGCCGGTTCCGCCGGACGGCGTGGATGCTGCTTGGCTGTCCCCGGCGTAGATATCCCACTTGCGAGTGGTCGCACCTGCATTGAATACAGAGCCAATAAGCTTTCGGGCAATGGCATAGGAGTTGCACGGAAAGTGATATCAAGCGTGTTGAAGAAACAAATTTATTATCGCCAAAAAGAGCGCGATCACCAAGAAGATCGCCTGTCGAGGGTTGTCCAACACGAACACTGTGATGATCCAGGAGCGGCTTTAGATTCACAATCAGCTGCGTGCGGACTTGTTAGAAAGCATCAGAATTGCGGCTCGATGTCGATGTCCCAAGCCGACCGGTCATTGTTCGACAGCGCGACACTTGGAACGTCTGCAAGCGCGCCGAGTGCTTTCCGTCCGTCGTATACACCTAATGCGATTGCGGGTAAGACTGATAAAAGACAGATTGCCCAGCCAGAGACAGCAGCCGCTGGAAAGCTTAGAGTTTCTCGCTCAGACCAGCTCCGGCTTACCACACGAATCTTCAAGGACATTTTATGGTGGAGTGAGAACGAAGAGGAAGAGAATGGTTTTGAAATGCGACAGAGGAAAGCACAGGATGTAGAGCTTTCACTCCACGAAGAATCGCAACTACCGAAAGCGGAGAGCCGCAACCTGTTGTACGGTCGATCCTCGGACGTAGCCCGTGTCACCGACTTGATATCGCGCCACCGCGCACTCGTTCTAACGGGCGAGTGCAAGAGTGTGCGTTGTGCAGTACTTAGAGCAGTTGCTGAGGAACTGGATGCGTCGAGCATGCGTTGTACATTTCTCGTATGTTGTGACTTTCAGCGGGGATTCCGGAACTGGTTTTCAGTCAAAGACGAAATACTCACTCTTGCTGGTGCAGTGCATGCACTACATCAGACGCGATCTTCTAGTTGTACGAGGAACAAGCAGGAGGAGCTTTACACCAGCAGAAGTTGTGATGTGACAGGAGCTGAGCATTTCGAGGAGCATCAAGAACCGGACTTCAATCTCACGATTGCGTCGCGCAATAATAGAGCGCCCTGGTGCAGCAGAGGAAGCGAGTACCGCACACGTGAACCTTTGAGTCCGAGCTCGATGTTGAGACTCGCAGCCACGCCATGTTTATTAAGTTCAACGTCGTCATCGTCGACAAGTCCTAATCTTGTGCTCATATGCACGGGGCTAGACCATCTGTTGAGTGCGGTAGCCTCTGCTGACTTCGTGTTGAGTATTTTGAAGGCCTTGCCGCATCTGCGTCTTGTCTTTCTTCCGAGTCAATCAGCTGGCACTAGTCTGGCCACAGAAATCACGCAGCGCCTTCGCATGTTTCCAACCCATTATTTGCGCCCCTTATCGAATCGAGAGGCCTCCACTTTGTTGATTCGTGCTGCAATTCCGCACACAGCCTCTAGGATACAAGACACCTTCTTACGCAGTTCAATAGAGCATGTCAAAGCCAGACTTGGCAGACCTCGAGAAATTCTACGTGGAGTTATTCTTGATCTTGATGCCGTCGACAGCTCTGGTGCAGAACCGGAAGACGACCAACTGGATTTATTGACGCTATACTTGAGAACATCGTTGTCCTGCCTAGATGAACTACAGTGTCCGATAGCCCTCGTCGCTGCACTTCTCAGTCACAGTCCTGCTCGTCTGTCTCGGTTGGCGGGCGCACTCACAACAAACTGCGAACTCTCGCACACCAGCAACGGCGGGAAAGCATTGCTACGTGCTCAACAGCTCGTTCTACAAAAAGAGATTCGCGACGATGTCACAACTGAGTCAGCAGCTATATTGCGAGCACTGCATCAATTACCAGAATTTCTCGTAATTTTTCTGAGAGATATGGTGTACTTTTTTCCAGGCGGCGCGACGCTCGTGGATCTAGCGTGCGTCCTTGGACCCTCTCTGTTTGCTGATGCAACAAAAGCCTGGAATGCCCCGATTGAAACTGAAGCGAAACTCCGACAATCAGCGTGCGCCGTGTCGCTTTTTTCACTGACAACAACTGTCTTTGACAGGCTAGAGTGTGACGCGACGCGTACTGGTAGTCGTGCATCCTCAACAAATATCCACGGTGATGCCCATGAAGACCCCAGCCGCGCAGATAACCAGCAGCAGGAGTCCATAATTCAAACGATGCGCATCCTTTGCGCAGTGCTGGAAGCAGCGAGAGCACTCGCCCAAGTTGATCTTCTGCATGTGTACACAGCAGAGCGATCGAGGCTCCATCTAGTGTCACACACAAACGCTATCTCACACGTTCGGCTGCAGGTGCCAACAGCTGTTGCGCTCGCCGTGTTGAGCAAACATTTTGAGGGGGGCATTTTTTGTTTTCGGAATGACGATGAAGAAGAAAAAAGAAAACGTCGTCGATTTGTGAAGGTGCAGTTCGAGCACCTGGCAAAAGCGTCTGCGATTTTGTCAGCGTCAGCTGGAACTAAAACTGTTGTGGATTCGAAAAAAGCAAACGGCGAGGGCTCCACGGAAATAAAACGACACGAGCGCGAGGACTTCTCGTCAGCATGTCCGGTCCTTCATTCGATTCACCATATATTTTCACGACGCAACGTCGAGCGAGCGCTCAGTTTGGCAACGAGCGCGGAGATTGTTGCTTTTGTGTCTGCTGGTTTCGGGTCCCTTTTTTCTCGTTTTTTGGATTCCCGTGTGCGGTTGCGTTCTTACGAGCGTGCCGCTGCGGCATTCCAACCCGATGAAAGGGAGAGCTTCCGCAAGCCTCTGGTGCTTGACTGGGCGTCTGGCGGAGGGACGACGCGCAAGACCAGTAAAGGGAAAAGAGCCAGCGAATTTAGCAGTGTGCAACCATTCTCGGCAGAGTGGTTCAAGGGGGAGCCAGATCGTCAGTTCACTGGTGAAGCGAGTTTGGCTCGCCCACCACTAATGGGAAAGCGAGACTTCACCTGCTCCAGAAGCGGTGTTAGAAACGAGGATAGATCACCGAAGCATCGTGTTCATGCTGCTGGGCTTTGTAGACGAGACTTTTCCAAGTCGCCGTCAGCCGAAGGACTAGCAGAAGATGAAGTGATGTCTTCATTCGTGGCGGGTCGTTCGCTCCTTGTACAGATGCGAGAAACAAGGATCAAACAAAATATGCGTCGACGCTCTAGGGCAACATCAGGCCGCAGAGACTTCGACAAAAGTTGCGACACGACTAGTTCAAACTACTTGCAGAATGCCGATGACAATTCTTCTTGCTTCGCCGACACCTCTGCTCCCCGCCGCCAGCGTCGCAACAGCTATCATTATACCCCGTCGACGGATTCTTCATGGATTGACTCCGACGCACCAGTAGAAGAGACAGACGCAAACCGAATAGAGAAACAGCATGATGATCTATTTCATGTTTCACCAACAGCTTCTGCTTCCTCGATACCAGGACAATTTTTACACACTCCTGAAGAAGATGCAGGGTCGTCCGTTTTTCATCAACATGTAAAAAAGCCCGACTCCATCAACAAGATGAAAGGACGAGGAGCTGAGCGATGTCACGATGATATTGAGATCAGAATTATCCGCACAAGAACAAGAAAAGATCATGACCTCCAAAATATGCATTTTTCCGGATCGTTCAAGCGCGCGTTGTTGGATTTGCGCCAACAAATTTCGTTGGCGTGGCGTGCTTTCGTTACCAACTTGTATGCAGGGTGCGGGGAAGATTCAGTTCTTTCAGAGGCTCAGGCTTCTGGCAGAAGAGGGCGTGGGCGTACAACTGCTTTTGTAACAGATCGTCAAATATCCGATTACATAGCAGAGAGCGAGGGTATATCAGACGATCGGCAATTGCCGGCATTCTATCACCAGCGACGCGTTGTTAGTAGTCATGAAGATAGTTCCGAGGCCCCAGAAGCTTTTCCAGCGTACCGAGACACTGACCTTGGCGGGGTAAGGATACCCTTAGCTGTAGTCGCTGTTAATGCTATCCCAACAGCACATCCTGCTCCTGGTGGGTCATCAGGTACAGGTTCAGGGCACCATGCTGGTACAGATGTGGCAGTTGACACTCCAGTTCATGAGCTGCAGGAAGTTTATCCAGACTTGACGAACGGTTCCGAGGTGAAGCTCCGTGAAGCCCAGCTTCTTCTCGCCATGGCGCAGGCCTATGCTGAGCGCGGCCGTTTCGAGGATGCTAAAAAAACCATTGTACGCGCACGCGGGTTCGTGCAGAGAGCGTTCGGCATCGCTCCAAGTCATCGCATCTCAGGTTTTCGGCCGCGGCGCGCGCCTCCGTCCCCCGCCTGGTACCCGTTGCGGCTCGTGACAGCGCGAAAGCTGCAGCTCGAGTTGGCGCGCTGCTACGTCCAGCTTGGCGAGTACCGTTTTGCGCATGACACACTTGAGAGGCCGTGGGCCGCGACAGAAGACCAGATGGTGGGCTTTGAGCAAGATTTTGTTGACTTCCTTCACGAACGATTTTCATCACGACCTCAAGATGCGCCTTCTAGTAAAGTGGCAAGCATCAATAGTACTGGCAAAGGCAAGGCGTGTTCCAGTATAGTACACGAAGCTGGTAAGCGGGCGCACAAGGGCCGTCGATGCCAAACAATGCGAAAGCAAGCGCTGCAGCCAGTGGCTTCAGGTCACGCAGCTGGTTGGGACGGATATTTTCGCGGCCAGGGAGGAAAGCACGGCGGGTACGGCGAAGACGATCAAAAGGGATTTACATCGTCTTTCCCTGAAAACAACAGCGCTTGCAGCCGCGTGGACAGGACCACGCCTTTGTCGCCAATACAACAAGCGCTGCGCGATTTGGAAGAGGCAAAGAGTGCTTTGCAGGCGCGCGAAGATCTGTACCGAGGGCAGCTTTACCACAAGATAGGTGCTGAGATGTTGCGGCATATCTTGAAGTCTTCTAGGCCGGCCGACTTTGAGTCGCATGACCAGCAAGGGGAAGTGAAATCTTTTGGCGAGTATCGGTTTCAGGTGCCAGCTCCCTCTATGGTTTGGAGTGATGATTCGACTAGTGCAGGACAATTTCCCGATAACACGAAAGACCCACAGCAGAAAGCTCTTAGCTGGCTTCGCTATGCTTGGCACTATCTCGGTAAAAGCGATGAAAAGACAAACACGATACACGACAGTGATGCTGGTGGGTGCGCAAAACATGACAAAGATTACTCAGCGGCCGTTGCCGCTGCACTCTTTACAGGTGAGGCAGCGCCTGAGACTGTTTATACCGTTGGTGATCTCTTACCCCCTATGGTTGACGAATTTTACGCGCGATACGTGATTGGGGAGACTATTGACTGGCCCATACATACGAAAACGACAGCGCGAGGCGTCTGCGAGGAGGACGCTCACCAATCTTCGAAGAGCACGCAAAAAGGAACTCGAGGGAAACGAAGCGGGAAGGCCCACCGAAGCCATTTAGGAAAAGATGGAGATGCGCGATTAAACTGGGGCCCAGGGAAACAAGAAGCGTCTTGGCGAAATTCTCCGATCCATCATCGTGCCATTGGGTCCTTATGTGATTTGTTGCGCATTCCCTCTGAACGTCTTCGCGATTGTTACGGTAGCTATGCCTTTTCCGCCGAAGACCTTTTGCGGCATAAGCTTTTAATGCAAGCGCTATCGGCCGATGCGACAGCTTGTCAAAATCTCATTCCTGTCGCCTTGTCTATGCGGCAGGACGAGGAGAACAGAGAGACTCAACTCTATCATCAAGAAGAACTCATTGCGTTTGCGGAGCAACGAGAGGCACGCCATAAAGCTAGTAGTGAATGCGTCAACGATTCGGAGCATCTTCATGCCGAACCTCATCAAGGGAAGCTCGATCATGTTTCTCGTCGACTTCTTCGTGCCTGCGAGGTGGTCCTGGGTGCTACCAACGAGGGCGGTCATAAACCTGTCCATGATAATGAAGATGAACCGCTACATCTTCAAGAACAGGCACCACAGGTAGGGCGTACTGGCGCTGCGAATCATGACGTTGAGACGACAGGAGCCCCTTCATCCATTAGCTCCGCCTGCAGCCGAAGTAAGCGCATAAAAGCAGCAGCCCTGACTGCCTATTTACGACAACCCGAGAGCATCCTGAAAGACATGCTTTGCATTCGTTTCGCGAATTGTACGCCGCTTGAGCAAGCTGCTTTGCGCGTAGCCGACTTAATCGCGAATTTGGAGGCATTGCAGAACCCGGAATGCAAGATGACCGAACAATTAGCAAAGGCATACTACATATCAGGCTCTTTAGCGGGTGCAAAAGCGGCTGCGCTTTGTCGCGTGGAGCATGATGTCGCTGCAACGGTTTGCGAGCTTTATCGCGGAAATTTCAGCAGAAGCCAGCAAACAAAGACCAGAAGTCTAGCAAACGCTCGGCCTTCGGAGCACTTGTCCAGTTCTCTTGCTGCAGATGAAGGATCCGCGAGACTGCTTCCCACAATATTTTCCTCAAGAAAGCCAGAAGTTACAAACCGAGATGATTTCCATCATCCGGTTAGAACTAGAAGCGCGTCGTCCACTTCATCTATACCTGCTCCTATACCTGGTGATCAAGGTTCTTCATCCTCGTCTTCATCACCAAACGGCCTTCCGAAGTTTCAAGACCTTCAGGAGGATCTCTGTTTCTTGCGTTCTATTATTGACCTCCACTTCGCGGAACTCCATGAAAAATGGTCTATGTTGCAGAGCAATCACTTGGAAAAAGCAGTAGAAGGGTATACCGATCAACCGCCAGACTATGTGCATCGACTTGCCGCTCGGAATAACCTGGCGGGGGTGTATGTAGAGGCCCCTTGGCAACAGAAGCTGGTATTGGAGGACGAGGAGAGGATGCAAGATATTTCGAATCTTGATTATGATGCGGGCCAAATTCATGGTGCTCCAGTCACAGCCACGGGATCTTCATCATCTGCATTACGACACTCTTCAACTCCTAGAAATAGAAATCTCGATGTTCAACAGAATGCGGAACAAAGTACAAGTACTACACAGGAGCAGAAGCAAAACAATGTATCTACAGCACAATTTTCAAACGACTCCTCAATAGTAGATAATCACGAAGCACTAGAAGCACCAGATACTAGTATACAAAACAAGGATCAGCACCAAGCGAAAACAAAAAAACAATCGAAAACATTGCAGAGGCAGAACCCGACGGCGATGAACTCGAACTCCAAGTCCAAGCAAGTATTGAAAGAAAGTACAACAAACTCAAACGCAATCTCAAAGAACAAGGAACAAAGTACAAGTACTCCTAGTAGGGACACGCAAATGCTGAACAACCATAAGAATAATAAATTCTATCGGCAGCACAACACTACATTTGAGGACAATCTCGCTAAAGCATGTGTAAATATGAAGACGCTTTTGGAGTTTGGCGAAGACGGTTCTAGGCTTGTTCCACTTGCATAGTGCCAAATCATGATTATAGTTGAAGTTCTTGTTCTCCTAGTATCGAGGTAGTGACGTGGTGTTGAAAGATAGTTTCAGTATGTCTTTTTTTTATTGGATGATGTGGATCTCGATCCGATTCCTCCATTTTTTAAGCGGCAAAAAGTACTAGAAGAAGTACTGGTAGGGATCAATTTGTTTTGCAAACCCAATAGTAGTTGTTAAGCTTTTTACTACAAACATTACTTGCGTCGAGGAGTAATTTCTTGATGATGATCAAGCTTGTAACCTCAACATTTTTACCAGTTTAGTTAAGTACCTGTTGCATATACTAGCGGTAGCAAGCTAGCACCGTTATAGAACATGAAAATATCCTTTCAAATATTTCCTGGCGAACTAGATAGAGGATATGTTCTACTACTCATCAAGTCACCTATGCAGTTTCCGAGATCTGATCTCGTCCTGATCTTGTATTCTCACTTTTGATTTTTCATTTTTTAACGTCGAAAAATTTTCCTTTCTAATGCTTGATTTCACATGATGAAAAACTACATTTTTACCATGATAAAAATTCTACTTTAATACTGTATATTTTTTTCGTTAAAAAAAGAATCAGGTACCACAGAAAACTGAGGTTTTGAAGGCGACAGTCGAAGGCATCATGTGCAAGGAATATCATTGCTTTCATCGTGGAAAAGTGGCAACGTTTTGTGAGTGTGGAATCGAAGAGTCACAACTGATGAATGCGAGATACGAAAGGCGCGGCGCAACGGGCGGCTTTTAAAGCAGATACACAATTATTACGTTTTCATATTTATGATGCTTATTCAGTGTGTGTTAGTGTTTGTTATGCTTTTCGATGGCAGAAAAATCATGCTCAATATCTCCTGACAGGTGGTTGGGGTTGCATATTATTCCTTACTCTTACTGGTACTGTAGTAAGCGTCACTTAACATCATCGGGTGGAGATGTAAGTAATATAAAATGCATATCAAACTCCAGGTGAATTCCGTTTCGTTTCGATTGAGTATGCTAGGCAACGAAGCCTAGGCAAGGGCAGAAGAATGCGTAAGCTTCACATAGCGAAAGCGAAGCTGCCGCTACGATACGCATGCGGAAATGAAGAAAGAAAGAAAGTGGAAGTCTTCGTTTTCTATAAGGAGCGTGAAAGTGAAAGAAGTAGGACTACGAGCTAGCGACCAGCATGCAGATTACTTCATGGCTTTGGCTTTACTTTACTCTTTGTCCTTGTGGGTTAGCAGGAACTTAATTTATATTCTTTTGAGTTTTAACGAAGGCCTTGGTGTTGGTCTTGCTCTTCGTCTTGAAGTTCTTAGTATTCATCAGGACGACGATGATGTCGTTGTCGTAGTAGACGGCTTTGATGTTGATGTCAGAACTATTCTTACCACGTGCACGTGCACGCTATTACGATTACCATCTTGACGAGACGAAAAGCAAAAAGATACTACACGTACACGCACACGCACACTAACAATTGAGACGGAAGCAAAGTAAGGAAATGCTTTTGATTCTCTTGCTGTCGACTTGGTCTTGCATGAATTTAACACGAGAAAACGGAACCCGCAGGGGGAATGATCGTTTCTGTCTTTCTACTACTACTTCAACTTCTTCCATGTGTTTTGGTCTTGATTTCGCATCGAGCCGACGAGCAAGTAAAGACTGAACTGCAACTGAAATGAGTTTTCGTTCGAAGTCGCTGATGCTGTGAAGATATCTTGTTTTTTGATTTTGTCGCCGTTGTGATCTGTGAAAGTGAAAGAACATAGAAGAGGAGAGCAGCATAAGAAAACTCCGGCAAAAATCGGCTTTGATTTCGAATTCGTGAAATTTTTTTGTACGTCTACAACAAGAACAGCATGGAGCCTTAACTTCAAAAAAGAAAGTGGCGCTTTTTTTAAAGTGGTGTAGCTGTAGCAGTAGCAGAGAGAGAGTGATCGTCTGTTGGGAAAGAAAGTAATAAGCAAAACTTAAAGCAAAGAGGATATTTGTCGAATCGTCGAAAAGAAGGCGCTCTCGCTCTGGCTTTGTCTGGGAGGTATCTGTATCTGTTTTTGTGAAGTATGAGAGCACAGCGTCGATGATATCGGTTTCAATTTCATATCGACATTGAAAATTTACGGATGAACTCAAGGCAGTGAAAAATGATCCTTCTGTGAGCAGCATCCCCATCCCGATGGCCTTACTTTTCTTTTTGAGTTTTGACCTTCTCATCTCTATCTCATGCTCACGAGCATTTGTATCTCCATTTTCAAAATTGGAAGTATGTAGTTTGCGTGCGGTTCCATTGATGACGTTGTAAAAAAAGGATAATAGAATTGCTTGAGCAAGAATCTTTCTTAAAAGAAATCTGTAGGATAAAAGTAGTTCTTCCTCATGTCCTTCATAAATGAGAAAACAAAATAAATGTACTTCTTCTTCTAGATGCCCGCGCCTACGTCCGATGAACACATCTCAGACTCAGGCTAAGCGAGTCCTGGTAATTGATAGGGAAGCATGAATATGATTTAGTTTCAGAGGATGGCTTGATAGTTTGGATGTTGTTTATCGTTATATATTTTATATTGTAATGCAGTAGCAGTATGTACAACTTGAGGCGGAAGAGGAAGTCAAAAAGTATTTGATCTTGCTCTTCCTTGTACCGGTCCACTTCGTTGCAATCCACTTCCGCATTGATGTTGAACTTGAAGTAAGCCATGGCCTAGCTACTTTTGATTTTGTTCTGAATTGAATGAGCCGACTTTTCCGACACTTGCTAAGACTCTTACTATGTTTCAAATTGGAACTGTCACCGTGATAGTGATTGAGCTTCTTTTTCCATCGTTATATTCTGTACGAAATTATTAGAACTAGTACTAGACATAGACTCGCCAACACGAAGTTTTATATTGAAATAAGGTCGATCTAGATGCGCTCATCAATATCAAGAGAGCATACAAAATTTTCAAGCTTATAGCTCTACAATCTACATCTACTTCTGGTTCTGATATTATTTTTCTTGTAGGTGTAGGGAGGTTAGTACTTTTCTTAGGACATCAGCAAGAGCCACAAAAATCTATAGAAGAAAAGCTAAAGTGATACTCCAAACGCGTTTCTTATCAATTCGACGAAACACGATGGACGACTTAAAATACCACTTCGATGGCCGAAGACGCAAAGCTGATAGAAGTCAGCAGGTAGTACCTGTTGGCTACTCTGCAGAAGAACACCGCAGACAGACGCACGCAGCACTACAAGCTTTACAGGGTAACCGTAGTCTTGGAGTTGGACAGGATGGCGTTGGAAGTAAGGATCGGAAAGGGGAGGTTCGTAGTTTCACATCTACGAACCATTTTTCAGATTTTGCTGCAGCTTTAGACGCGAAGGAGCGGAACATCAATGCGAAGTACAGCACGATGCCCATTTTGCAAGATGGAGGACTGACTTCTTCATCATGTACTTTCGCGCCACCGCCGCGAGCCATTTCCTCATCTAGAAATCTAGAAAGACGAGGAGGACCTGCTCCGAGAGTGGGTAGTGGTAGTGGTATGGATGCTCATGCGAGTGCGCGCTTGTTGGGGAATCAGGTAGGTGGAATCGAGTCGGAAGTCGCGCGAATCTTGAACAAATCCTCATCCAGTTCTAGTAGTGCTTCATCAGCATCATCATCAAGTCGAGCGGTTTCACTACAACAAGAACAAGGAAAAGGTACGGGAGCAACGTTTGGAACGCAGACTGGAAAAGCAGGGAATCCAAATTCTGATCCTGATAGGAGAGGAAACAGAGATCAGCAAGACCAAGAGACCAGAAGCAAAGGAGCTTCTGCGAGAAACAACAAAAGCAACATCCTTAATGCCGCGCCTTCGTCCTCAAACTCGAACGTGAGGCCTTTTGTTCAAATCGATGAAAGACCAGAAGGAGGCACTCTCGGCGTCCATGCAAACAATTCTACGACGACACAGCGTGAGGGGGAGAACGCACGCGCAAGAATTATAGTGCAAAACGCTATGAGAAGTTCTTTTACATCCCAAAGGCAAAGAACAGAGTCACTTCTAGGAGGAGGAGGAGCGCGAGGAAGTGCGGGGGCTTTTCTTCCTCATCAGCAGCATTCACATTCTCGTTTACAACAGAACAGTAACTGTAACAGACTAGAGGGAGCGTCTCTCTTCTTACCATCAAACTCGTTTCGTAGTACTAGTAGTAGTATTAATAGAAGCGGAGTCTTCCAAGCAGGAGAAAGTGGAATGCAATTGCAAGGAGGTGTAGATCCGGTTTCAGTTTCTTTGCTACAACAGGATACGTTTCACCATCCAAGTTTTTCTAGGTTGCAGACACGTCGCCAGGGGAATGGACATGTGCAAGACCTAGACACGGAGTTCAATCCTATTAACGCACTTGCCGCAGCCACGAGTGGATTAGCAGTAGCTGATCGGTGTCGTCTAAACTCGTGGTCAGTGGCATCGGGTGTGTCTGCACCTGGTGCAGAAAGAACAAGTGGAGACGCGGCTGCTTCTGGGTCGTTTGCTGCTGCTGGAATCCCCACGACGCGAGGTTTTCATGGTGGAATCAATGAAATTCTTCGCGCTAAGCAAGATGCCTCACATTCACAAGGAAAGGACATGCTTCAGCGAAGTAATCCAGATCGTCACACTCTAGACGTAGAAGCAGTAGTCAGTGCTGCAACGAGCGCGAACGCAATGAGGGAGCTTCAAGTTGGAGGAAGGATTATGCTTTTCCCGCAGCAGCGTGCGAGTGGACGCGATCAAGAACTAGACAAACTCCACACGAATGAGTTAGGCAACGTCATCAAGAACTATGTTGAAAAAAATAAAGGCGGCACAGCATACCAACTTGAACAGAACTTGCATCTTGCTGCTGATTCGCCGACTGCACGACGAGCACAAGCAGGCGCCAATGGAGATTTTCTTATTAGTCCTCTTCGCACCAGAAACAAGAAAGCCCAAGCCGCGAGCGAGTTGGTTAATCTTCCTGGAGCAGGATTGCTGGGCGCAAACGCAGCTTCTGTAAACGACTCGATAGCGCAAATGGGTGAAGTTGCTTTGGCTGCTGTTATAGGTGAATTGCCGGAAGAAGGGGTTGTTCACTTTACTCCACCTGCAGACTCGAAGAAGCGAGAAAACGACTTGCAGGATGCAAGACAAGCGATAGGTGAGTACTTGATCGATTACCATCCCACATCTGTTTCTGGAGGCTGGCCAGCAAAAAGGCTGGTCCATACGGATCGACTATATCAGCGGGCAGCACGAGAAGTCGCTCACTCTCGAGTGCAAGGAAAAAACTACTCTGTTCGACATGAATACTTATGGCGAGAAGCTTTGCCTTGTTGTAATTGATTCTATCACTGCGTTCGCGTTAAAGGATCCCTTACGCTTACTCTTACATCCTCTTGGTCAGTTATGGGCTTTCTAATCTTATAGTGCAGGTTAAAGCTAAGTTTGCATATTATCGCCATATGGCATATGCGCATGATGATGGTCATTTTTTCAACGAAGGCAAGTTTTTTCAAATAGATGATGATGATGCCAGTTCGTTGCTTTAGTTAAGTATACTTGCGTATCTATATATATTCGTTGTCGGTTTTAGTTCAATTATATCAGTCATAGTCATAATCTAACTTGAGACGGTGCGTCCGGGCCAGCGAAGGACTCAGGCGAGTTTTTTGATGAAGCAACTGGACTGCGACATCGGGTGAAAATTGCGCCCAAGTGGTTGAATCATTTCATGATGGTAGCGCCACTTCACCCAGACGGGTCGCTCGATTACGGACAGCGCATGGAGATTCCTGTTCCCGTTACTGCATTATTGGTCGAAGAAGACAATATCGACGCGGAATCGTGGAGAAACGCGAGAGCAGCTTGGCGGTACCTCTATCCGCTCTTGCCCCTGAATCCCCATGCGCAATTGGTCGCGCTCGACATCGAGTGCGACAGTGGAGGAAGTAGTATCCCCAGCATCCACTACTACGAAGAGCTTATTTTTGAAACGATAATGTTGAGAGAAGGTAACGACACGCAGGAGTGGCGCAACTACATCGACGACCCTACGGGAGTATATATAGTTCCGGGCTTGTGCGTGGCGCATCCCAATTTATGGCTGGGCTGTATAGTTTGTTTTTTTCCGATAATAATTTAATCAGTTGATTCTGAATAAGGAAAAGGGTCTAGAAATAGACGTAGAAGTAGATGAAATAGATACCGACATGGAGATGGTGTGACTTTATGTTTTCAGTTTAGTCGCCCTTGAGTTCCTTGTTTCTCTCACAGGATCAGGCGAAACTGAAGTGGAACAATTCCGATTCACTTTCTGCAACCTGCTTTAATTTCAAACACGTCGGCGGGAAATAGTACTGTGGAAGGAGCTTGGGTGCTTGGATTAGATGCGCAGTGTTTTTTGAATCGATTGAGGAAAGAAATAGCAGCAATTACCAGGCATCGATTAAATATCGCAAAAGCCATGAACGCAGACGGGGAGGCTTATGGGATGATTGATGGCCAGCCTTTTCGTACGGGGCGAAAATCAGCGAAAATCTTTGGAGCACATTCCAAGTTGGCGAAGTACATCGCAAAGCGAGATGCACTGGAGAAGGAGCAAGATGCCGCAGCTCGATTGGCTCAAATTGGTGACCGGTCCGCCGTACAGGATGCCTATGTGAAGCAAGCAAAACAAGAAACAGGTTCTACAACTACAAGCACAAGCCCAGCTCCTTGTGCGTTCATGTACATACTGGACAATAGACTTAGCAACGCGCTTGGCGTTTTGCGTTGTCTTGTTTTTTTTGAGTGTTGTTCTCTTCTAGTGATTGCGTTCATACAGTTTTGCTTTCAGAATAGGCATGCAAAGCTAAATCTTATCGTTATCTTACTTAGTAACCTTTCACAGCACGAAGCATGCACGATCTCTGTGCTGGGTTGCGCATCCCTAGTCCGACGAGATGGGGCACAGTTGGATCCGCGTGTCGCGATAAGACGGGAGCTGATATAGTTGGCCACAACGACTGGCTTGGCGATAGAAAGCAAATAGATTACGAGCCGGGAAAGTGGTTGAAGTGTCCATCTGATGGTATTTATTGAGACGAAGTTGAGCTTGTAACCCTAAAGCAAACCGTTACTGCTATAGTTATTCTTATTCACTATAATTTTAATTCGAAAAAGCTGGCTTCTTGCTATGCTATGAAACTTCTAATCTGCACCTTTTTTGATTGTATTCGTTATTAAGTTGGTTCTGTTTTACTTTTATGTCTTTTTGGTTTTGGTATTTTCATCTATTCTCATCTTGTTATTGTTTTTCTTTTGCAGATTCTCACTTGGCTTTCACGCGGGTGTGTGGCGCTAGTCTGGTTCCAGCGGACAAAATTGTAGTGCAGTTAAATGATGAAGATTCGATTGACCGCATGGAGATCCTGTCGATAGCAGACCAAAGCGTGACCGAAGTGCTGAAGGAGTATTACATGCAGCCGAACTTCAGCGAAGAACTTCCAGCAAGTTTCTCATCGCGTCCGCAGGCGGGTGAAGTTGTTGATGATCTGGAGGAAGATGGGTTGCAGTTTGAGAATGTTGCAGCTGGCATGGTGCACGCGTCCGGCATCAACATTCTCCTCACGTACATTCTAGAAATGGAGACGAGAATGAGCGAGCGGGGCGGCGCGGACGAGTTGCACGACTGTCATGACGCAGCAGCAAAAGAAGGTCCAGCAGCGCAGCAGGAAGTAGTCAGAAAGTTTTGCGCTGGTCCTCCTCCGACTCGAATCAAAACCGTAATCGATGGCATGAGCAGCCTGTGGCGACAACTAAGACGAAAAACACCAGCAGCCGGCTCAGAGATTTTGAGTATGCTGAGCCGTTGCCGTCGCACTCAATGGAAAACAACGAGGCGCGGGGAATCTCGTCACGCGATTTGTGCACGCGCCGCCCAAGCCAATAACCGGGTGCGTGGCTTAGAGGTCGTCTCGGCCATGTCTGGCGCGGCAGCATGCTGCGGCAGGTATCGCGACGCCTCGCGAACTCTATACAAAATTAGTAGGTGGGAAGACATGGTCAGCGGCGTCTGGTACGAAGACCAGCGACCTTACGATGCGCGCGACATCATGAAATCAGAGTACGGATTTGGCTTTTCGGGACATGTTGCGGCTTTCACCGAGCAAACCCAACTAGCATGGAAACAAACGGCAGAAGAGTGGAACCACGTGCGAGCCTATAACCAACAACGAGAAAAAGAGTGGGCGGCTGGGCGTTTGCTTGCGCTAGAAAAACAAAAGAGGAAACCACTCTCCGAAATCAAGAAGGAGTGCGAGTACGTTCTTGACTGGTCGAACCAGGTTGCTAGTAGAGTGGAGGATCTGTACACTGCGCATGCGTACACGATGGAAGAAAGCAACGAGACGGCGATTGATCGATGCTACAGTCCCCTAGATTATTATTTGCCTGGCAGTTCTTCTGAGCAAATGCGGCTTTGGGGTACTTCTGCAGAAGCAGGTGATGAAGTGTTAGAGCAAGCTACGTCATGGATCTTCAGCGTGCGAAAGCAAAAACGTGAGAAAGAAGCTGCTCGCTTACGGGCGAGTACTACAATGGCGATACTCAAGAAGAAGATGGAGCAGGATCTTCTCGAGCGGCGGGCGCTTCATAGTGATGAGAACATCATGGCAGAAATTGAAAGGGAGATCGACTTGGAGAAGGAAAAACAAACAAAGCCGAACAAACGCAAAGGGAAAGGAAAAGGAAAAACGTCTGTTGCTGGTGCTGCTGCGAAGAAGAAGAACGCAGGGCCTGGCGTGAGTGCTTCATCTAGTACTGGAAGAAAGGACGACGAAGAAGACGAAGAGAAAAAAGAACAGACGAGACGTTTAGAGGAAATCAAAACCATCATTGAGTACGACAGTTTCCTCATAGTAGTCGTGGACATGCCCTTCTCGAGCTTCCCGAAGACGATGCAGCATCGCTATGGATGGGCAAAAGGTGAAGCGACTTTAGACCGGAGTGTTTGGCTGTCGCATTTGGTGGACAAAGCGGGCGCAGCAAATGCAGAGCTCACAATGGATCAGCAAGCAAATGAATTGCGACAGTTCCTTGATGATCATGCGGATCCAGGTGTCTCCGCAGCCAATGCAAGTCGTGGCGAGCTCCTCGCGAGTGCCGTGGTAGGAGGAGGTCATGCTCATGGGGAGGAAAACGAAAACTCCAACGAGACCATTTTTTTGATGGGATACATTTCGGGAGACGGATGCTATGGAGGATTGCAAGTTCGTGGCATATACGTAGAAGGATCGAGATCTCTACAAGCCGTAGAAGTTGACTACTCGAACGGCGAATTTTCAGGGCTTCGATGGAATAGTAGTCAAAAGCCTTATCCTTTATTGGTGAATGCGGCGAAGAAGTACTACTCGGGGAAAGTATCTACTGACATTCGTGCAAGTAGACACAGCATGCGGATTGACAGTCTGAAGCAGCTCTCGATGCCCGAGATGGCGAACCGAGGACGTCAATTGCAAAAAAAGGATGAGGCGCGAGCAGTAAACTCTGACTGTTTCGTCAATTTGCAGCACCAACGTGCGACGCAGGGAGCACCACAAAGCCAGGCTTCAGGGAACAACATCGCAGAGCAGCCTCTTGATCTTCATGACGAGGACTTACTCCTAGAAATGTGCGCCAGTGAAGAAGAAAACGAAGCTGGTGACGCTAATGCCGGTGGCGTTCAGTCTTCAACAACGAAAAACAAAGTCAAGAAAAAAGCGAAGCCGATCTGGTTCAATAAAGTCAAAGGGGCTGTGAACATCCTCGCTTCGGGAAGTTCTCTCTACGGTGATTCGAGTGGTGACGCGACGAACACGGAGGGAGAGAACGAGCTCCAGCCAATGCTACTGAACAAGAAACCGAAGAAGCCAGCATCAACAGGAACAATGGACAAAAAAAAAACACAAGAAAAGGAAAAGGGCGAAAAAGTCTCGTCTTCAGTTTCTACTCCTACATCTGCGACTTCCTCGTCTGCGGTGCGTGATCCTACTATTCGAGAGAAAAAAGCTGTTGCTGGTGTCTTTCCACAAGAAGAAGCGTCGTTGATAGGAAAAGCTTCTGCAGGCGGTGACAAGCTGCCCACGATCGCTGAAGTTTTCAATGAAGATGATGCTGATAGCGATTGGTTCGGAAATCCAAATGCGTTTGATCCTTTAGCAGTTCCGCCGAATGCTCCACAGGGTGCAGTGTACGTTCCGCTCAGCAACGATGTACCTGGTGCTGACGCTGATCTAAGTGTTGTTGGAGAGGGAGCATACTACGTGGGACTGGGATTAGGATGGCGACAGGCGAAACCCAAGGAGAGTACGCAAAATTCTTCTTCCTCGGCGAAAAATGGAACTGATGACGTCGACGGAATAGGATGGATAGCTGACAGCGGGGACGAAAAGAAAATCGACTCGTTTTTTTTTGAAGATCAGGAAGATGATCTCCTGGGGAGTCCACATCCAAATGAACTGAAGACGAAAAAGAAGGGTAAAGCGCCTAAGAAGGAACCTGTGGAGAATAAGAAGCAAGAAGCAAGCAAGAAAACAACAGAAGATGAGATCGAAAAGGTACTGGGCGACAAGACAACTAATAACAATACTACTAGCGGCACTTCTAAAAGTGGAGAAACTGAAAGCAGTCAGAAGGTTCCAGATGATGTTCTTCCAAACAATTCAACTTCGTCGTCTTCTTCTACATCTACAGTTCAAAAGGCGGGAAGCACTGCAAAGGCTTCAGCTGTACAAGACAAACCAAGTGAAGGGATCCGTGACCTAGAAAGTAAAACTGCCCTTGATATCACGAATCGAATCATTTCGCCTCTTGGAAATGACGAAAGCAGATCCGCAAAGCAAGCGGGTGCTAGTAGTACTTCTAGCACGACGGTAAAGGCGGCTTTTCCTCTCCGTGAGAGTGTGGCAGGAGCAGAAAACGCAGCTGCTGCAACTTCATCTGCAGCGCCTAGTGCGAAGAAGAGCGTCCATGCTACGAAGCTGGTGCTTGAAGCTGAGGACACAGATGTGAAGGCAAAGGGACAGACTTTCTCATCTTCTGCGTCAGCTACTGCGACGGCGGTTTTCGTGCAAGATGTGGAAATAGCTGTTACAGCCAAGCAAGGCGCAGCGGATACCGGAATACTAATAGACATCATCAACGCTAATGTGATCGACAAGAAACAAATTCCGTTTTACACGGAAGACTTGGACAAACCGTCACAGCGGCACAATCTGAGTGATCCGGAAGTTCGAGAATCTGCGCAAAGTAACGGATCGCGTTCAAGGAAAGCGCCAACCGATTGGCTGTTAGAAGCGGAACGTATCGAAGCAATGCGGCAACGTCGTCGGCAACAAGAAAAAGCGAAATACGAGAAGAGCGTGCAAGATGCCGGACGAGCCGGCAATGATGACAAAAACAAGAAGCCAATGGCAAAACCGAAGCCGACCAGGGTCAGCAGAAGCGTCCACACTACGCGGGGATCAACTCAGACGAAAATGGTATGTCTTCCCACTGAGATAGTGGGGGGATTTTACTTTCGAACGACCGCGGCAGGATTGAAGTCTATGGGTATGTTCCAAAAATATCTTGATTTATAGCATCGGCATCCGTATCCATTTCATTTTGTAGCCTAGATGCCTTTATGCTTTTCAAGATTATTCTTAATTTTTCTAGGTGATCTATGCTTCTATGTGTTCATATTGTCGTAAGCGTGTTTTTTTCTAAACGTTGCCGAATGAAAATGGCGCATGCGGAGTCGAGCTGCTTTTACGAAATACACAATTTTGGAATCGAGAAAGAGCTGAACTTTTTGGACTCTCAGCGGAATGGAGAAAAAACAAAGTCCATTGGTATCCAGGGGGCAGCAGCTGCGCAAGCTATTCTGTTTCAGCATATAGGGCGATGCAGATTTCAGATGAAATTTTGGACCGGAAAGCGGGAGGCGCGGTCCGTTGACGACATTGACAGAATCAAGCGAGCATATCACTTTTGGATGTTACCGGTTGAAGAACTACTCACAATACATCCGGAAATTAAACCAGAGGCCGATATGCAGAAGCCTCTTCATCCACAAGTCTACTACTATCTACGAGTTCCTACCGGGGATGAGATTCATTCCTTACTAACACTATCGCTAGAAGGAAAGCAGAAAGTACGCGATCGACAAGAGCTTCAAAATATTCGAGAAGCACGAACGAATGTCGAAGAAGTAGAAGAGTCACAAAATGAAGGAAATCTAATTCCACTGAAGGATCTGCAGGCTCAACAAGATCAAGGATCTGGCGCATATTCTTCTTCGAAGTCAAAAGATGGGAAGAATTCAGAGAAGCAGGACTCTTCATCTTCAAGAGTTCAAGCTTCTGACTCAAAACATCACGCGTCAGCACCTACCTTGATCAGTGAATCCGCTCAAGAGCCGAAATCTAAAAAAGCTAAAGTGGATGTCCCGAAAGGAAGAGTTCCGACTACTACAGCTTCGGTCTCTGTTGACAAAACTGCTGCGCCGAACCTTTCTAGTAGTACTAAATGCACTAGTAAGGCAGGTAAAGCGACAAAAATAGCTAATCAAAGCCAAAAGCTTTCTTGTTCTTTAACAACAAAGTCAAAGAAGCCCTCAGCTACCACTAGTACTAGTACCTTGAAGCGGCAGCCTACTTCATCTCCCATCGTGGACAAGAAGAGGCAGAAACCAGAAAAGCCAGTAGAGGCGACAAAAGACGAAGGAAAGAAAAAGGCGAAGGCTAAAGCTCACAATCTCAATCAGAGGAAGAAAGCGTCTGGTGATTCTTGGCTCGTGGCTGAAGAAGAGGATCTCCGCCTTTATTCTCCATCTCCTCCAAAACAGGACAATGCAAATGCCGCTGCAGAGATCGAAGCGGAGACTGGTTTTCTAGAAGATCAAGGTGATGGAGAAGACGCTGGCTTGTTTGATCCAGACGAATCCTTCGAACAGCACGGCATCATCGATGAGGACGTTCAAGACGATTGGGGAAAGCCCGAGTAGATTCTATTGATTTTCTGTTAAAGTTATCACTTTCTGAACCTCAAAAAATGTTTCATTAAAAATGACCTGTAAAACGAGCTTCCTGATCTCTTCCTGATCTCACATCTAATCATTAATTTATAAGCCTGTTTAGTTAAGATCAGGAAGAGATCAGGAATAGATCAGGAAGTCCATTTTTGAGGTAAAATCCTCAGAAGCGTACTTTTCAGCAGAAAAATGGAGTATACCATGCGGGAAGATCTGATCCAACTGCTCAGTTTTGAGACCTCAGCTTTTGCCGTTTTGGGAAGCCCTGTTTCTGAGCCTCCAAATCGGCAAATTATAAGGCGCTGGGACGTCTCAAATCCTGACGTCTTTGCTAATCCCACTTTTTCCAACATGATGAAGCAACTTTTGTCCTTCTTATCGACCTCATAGTGGGCGAAGAGAAGCAATCTTTGCCGTGGCCCTTCTCTGAAAAGGGTCTGCTGAGCACCTTATATTCTCAAGAATAGATGCATCAAAAAGTCGATAGCTGACGCAAGCTATACTTCCCGCACCTCTTTCTATTTCTCTCTTTCCAGGTAATTACTGGCTCGCTGGCGAGTGCCAGAACTGTGCAGTTTAGCAGATCTAGAATGGGAACTTCACTGACAAGGTCGCCGCTTCGTGTGCAGGAAGCTGGCAAAGAGCCAGGCGAGACCGAAGGAAGAAGTTGAGTTTTGAACTGGAGGAGCAGAATCAGTAAAAGAGATGAAAATAGAGAAACAAAAGTCATCTTCATCCAATCCTCATAGTGTGATAGAACTTTTTTTGGAAATGAACTATTTACTTTCTATTCTGGTTTCATACTTTGATATAGTCTAGTCTCTTTCTTCTGATTTCTACATCGATTCCTAATTTCAAGTGTTTCCTGCAATAGTATTCACAGGCACAGTATTTTTGCGTATTGAGAGAAATTTTGCAAGCAAGGACTCGGTATCTGGAGCGTTCTTGTGTTTCTTCCTCAATGCAACAGACGCGTAGTATTCTCTTGCGATACCAGTATGGATGTGCGTTGTCAACATGTCAGTTAGGCTATTCCACAAGCAAGGCAAAGATGGCGTTAAGTAGGAGTCCTGAGATGAAGAAATTGACCATAAACTCAAACGAGAGTCCCTCGAGTATGCTTTTTTGTTGAAGCCTCTTCCTCGTAATGCATTCGCTTGGGAAGGGATCGTCCACAGAGAAGTTTTTTCTACCCTGAGAGGCTCGCTTCGTCCATTATCTCGATTTTTTCTCCTGGAGATGGACATGGAGCACAGTTATAGGGTGTCTATTCGCCTGGAAGTGCAAGCTTGTTTTCTGTCTTCGTCTCTACATTCTCTTTTACCATGACTGGACGTTATCGTTTTCTATCCACGAATATACGAGTAGCTCGTATTTGAGTCTGTATCTGAACAGCAATCACTTAAACTTGCCTCAATCTCAATGAAAACCAGCATTGACAAGCTTACTGCTTAACAGTTTCCCCACTTGGATTCCTCATCATTTTGGTGATACTCACTGACTTTCTGTAGAGAAATTTTTGATTCAGTCACTCAGGACCTCCATTGTAAGACTCGCACGTGAAGGGATTTCTAAGGCACGCTGTGCTATTCGTCGCTCAACATTTTTGATAATTAACTACGTTCTTTCTCTTACAAGATCTACAAGAAGTCCATCACAAAATGGATGGAGTCTGGAATCCTCCCGGAGGAGGAGACGGAGTTGAAGATGACCTCTGGAATGATGGTGGGAATAACTGGAATGAGTTGGAGGATGCTATCGAAGAAGGCGCTGGGCTGGAGGCCAATATGGTCAACAACGATTTTGCGCAGTTCCAGAATTTCGAACTCGGTGACCAGCAACAGATGGACTTTAATTTCGCGGGAGGCGTATTTGGTCCAGTATTGAACGCTCACCAAGCTCAGGGCTTCATTGCAGCCTTTCAGAAGAAACTGCTCACCACGGAGATGTCTGACATTGACAAGAAAACTGTACTTCAAGTCTTTATTGTCATTGTGTGCTGTGTATTCTTAGTTACTTACTTTTACATACCTAGAAGAAATAGAAACGAAAAGAAGCACTTGTTCTTGTAGGCTTGTTGCGTCATCTGTCTTTGTAAGGAACATGGTCAGTCAGTAGTTTTTGTATTCTTCTTATATCTCTCATCCACTCCAGGTCTTGGATGCGGGTCGTTTGACAAACCCACCCTATTCGATTGCTGAGTGCAGAAATGTTTGTGGGGATCTGATTATCCGCTACAAGGAAACAGATAATGGGAATCTCCCATTCTCTAAACCGAAGCTGGTGTCGGGACTTCTTGACCAGATGGCGCAAGTGCGTTTGGAAGACAGACACTCGAGTGGATTGAAGTACTAAGCAGGATCTGTTTTTTCTCGCGTCACAGTCCCCACATTGATGCTCTATGAGTATGAGTGCTTCAACTTTTCACTTCGTAGATACTTGCTTCTATGTCTACGATCGAGTCAAGATTTTCTCGCTCGCGTCAATCATTTCCATAACAAACTTAATACAGCAACTGCATCCATTTATTGGACAAGAATTCGAACTCCGGGGCTTTGGTTGCAGCGAACCGGGCTAAGCTATTGATGGGAAAGTTGGGGGTTTGTGTCGATTTTCAGGAGAAAAAAATGAAAGAGGAACACGATTCGCTATTGCCACCGCATATGCGAGTCTACTCCAGCCTCATGCAAGTGTACACGATTTTCGCAACCAAACTGTGGAAGCAGTTCAACTTTCAATACATCGAGGCAGCGGCTGCTTGGTACATGAGCGCTATTATTGATGGATCATCTTTTGCACATTACTAGAAGCATTCCCATAAAGACTTCGCTTCTTTATTGAAAAGATTTACCGTGTCAAGTGGGACAACGCTTCAAAGTTCTTACGCTTCTGCTTTGTTGCCTTTCAGGTGCGATTCGAACAAGGGTCTCATGAACAAATTCATTTTGGACGCCCCACCCGGCTTGACCAGTGAAGACTTGTTATGGCATACACAAATAAGCGCGCGTGTCAATGTCTATATGTATCAAAAAAGCTGCAACCTGTTCAGCAGCAACGTAAGTAGGCTTACAGAGTCGACCTTTGAAGTTCACTGCCAATGTTTTACTCTCATTATGCCTGGACGAAGATCGACAACTCCGCATGTGTGGCAATTTTCTGATCGAAACCGTGCAAAACCATAAGCAAGACCCGACATTGTACAAACGCTTGGAATCGGCGATCTCTCAGAGAGTCCTGGGCCAGTTGCGTCACAATCTTTTGGAACCTTTGATGCCCGGTATTCTTTTTTTTAGTAGAAAAAACTCACTGCTGCATAAGGATCATAGGAAGGACATTATGAATCTGTGAGCAAGTTACTTCTCAAGAATCTGGCCTCCTTGTGCCTATTTTGAAAGCAATTTCCTCTTCTCAGCATTTGCGGAATGGGAAACTCGTGCGAGCAGAGTCACCACGATCGCCATCTGGATGTGCATCCAAACGGCCATGATGTCGTTTCACAGCGGCAACGCGTTGAAAACCGTCATTGATGCTCTGAACCTTATGAGAGTGAAACTACTTCTAGCCTATCGCTATCTGGAGAAAGGTTGTCTGTTGAGGTGCGTTCGCTTTGTGATCGGGAATTACCGCAGTTTCTCATATGTTAAGATGTTGATGTGTCTTCTTCTAATCTTAGCGGACATTTGGCAGCAATTGAGGCTCGTCGCACTCCGCACGGTGGACGCGTTTCAATCCTTGAACCGGCTCCAGATTCCATCTCGAAAGCGTTTGTTATGGATTAGAGACTGCTTACTGAAAGTTTTCGTTGTCGTTCTGCTTCCCAAAGTTATAATACTTGTGCTTGATTATTTCAATAATAAAAACTACTGAGACCGAGTCTGTGACTCCAAGCTGCGCTTCTAATTCTTCGGGACATACGCCGTTTCCACAAAGCGACGCTTCAGTGTTGCGTCCGAATCGTTTAGATTTCGCCGGAAACAAGCGCCCTGCTGATCAATACAAAGAAGCCCTCGGACTTGGACGTGGTGAGCAAGCCGCTCGCAACTTCTTGGTTCACGGTTCGAGCGTTCCATCTGCCAAAAACACCCTTGTGATCCAGAACGCGAATACTGGCGAAGCCAGTTTGAAACGTCGCAAGCCAGTGCCTGAAGAGAGCGGAAATAAACAACAGAAAGAAGTGTTCATCAAACAAGAGCTTCTATCTTCTAGTTCTTCCAGCAGTCGCAGCGCGTCTTCTAGTACTTCTTCGTCTAATTCTTCGGCATTGTCTTCGGCTGTGAAAGCTAGTACAAGCCAGGCAAAAGCCTTCTCTTTGAACCACAACAGCGCGGCAATTCGAGATCTTCACAACATTAATAAGGCGCATCAGAATACACATCGACAAGGAGTGTCTCAGTTTGTGACGATTGAGCAGGACGCTGGCGTTGTAAGTGGTCTCACTTCGGCAAAATTACAACAAAACTACATCACCGGAGAAGAGATCAAAATCACGAAGAATCACAAGTATCAAGAGGGTGACAACACTACTGTGCAAGTAGATGAAAACTTGCAGCAGCAGAAGAACAAGGACATTGACGACGCGATGCATCTTGCCAACAATAAAAAACAAAACAAACTGGATGTGGACATCGAAAACATCAACAATCAAATCGGAGAAAAGCCCAACCACATCGACTTGGACGAAGGCCTTGCACCCGAAGAATGGGAAACGTGTCTCGAGGCGCCTTTCATCGATATGGACACCCAACAACGTCAAGGAAGCATTCCGATGATTTCTACAAACGATCCCGATTACGTTGCAGAGAGCAGACACTTCAAGCTGTGGACTGATGACGAAGTAGACGAACTGTGCCAATGGAAGTACTTCGAAGAAGCTCATACCAGCATGAATGTGACGATTTATCTACCGGATGGGACAGTCGACCCAAACGGTTGCAAATTCAGGGCTACTTCCAGCATGATTTGGATCATCACCGGGACTTTGAAGAATGTTGTCGATTATACGAACGTTACGCGCGTCATGAATTACGGCAACGAGTTACTTGCTATTGTGGATGTTGTTTCAACACAAACGCGCTTGCCGCTTGGTGTAGTTCGATTCTAATTTTAGTTTCTGGGTCTTTGTTCGAAATGCTTGCATCCTGATCTTCTCTACTTTTCGTATTTCTTTATCTCTAATTCTTACTGGTCGAGCGCAACGACGCTGCAAGAGCCGCTTTTTTGAAAGCAGTTGCTAGTCGCCAGAATTCTTCTACGAAAACGGATCAAGAAGCTGCCTTAGAGCATCTTCGTCAGGAGCAAGCATTGGATGCTTATGCAGAAAAGCTCGCGAAAGAAGACGAAAACGAAAAGAGCAGTAGTCGGGCAAGCAATTCTACTGCTGCGTCAAAAAAGAATAAGAATTCTCGTCGAGGTAGTGTATCCTCAGCTACTGGGGCCGACAACATTATGCACATGCACCAAAAGGCGGAAAAAGGAAGCTCTGCTGTTCCTGCTGCGACATCTTCGGCACATGTCAGCGCTACTACTACTACTGGGACTTCTACCACAACTACATCCGTTTCTGCTTCATCCACGAAGGCCGGCAAGGGCAAGCAATTGAGCAAGCAGAAAGGCGAAACTGCAGGTAATGGTAAGGCTAGCCACATGGAAGGGAAAGGCTCTGCTCCGCTTGTTCTTGGCTTCGCTGAAGTAGTCGAGGCTCCGGCCACAGCCAAACAAGTTCGCTTCACTAATCAGATCTTTGCTTCTCCTCCAGGACAAACAATGAAAAACAAGTCGAAAGACATTGTGATGGAACAAAAACAGGAAGCAAAGGATAACGCCAAGTACCCCTTTGGAGGACAAGAAGTCGAGTACAAAATCCGGGAGTTTGACGACGAGGAGAACATGCCAGACGCAGCCATCATCGATACCCCGGATGTGTGGCAAGGGCACCGGTATAAACCCGTTAAAACGGAAGTTCGCGAATTCATCCAAGGACTGGACATGCGGAAACGCGAAGAAGCTGAGGCGGCTCACAAGGGAAAAGGGAAAGGCGTGTCTTCGTTTGATCTTTCGGTACAATCTTTTGATCTTACTTCGATTTCCGTTCATCATCGTTTTGATTAAGCTTACAGTGTCCGTGTGGCGTGTCGTATCTCACTCGTGTTTCTTCGTATACTTCAAATTCATACTTCCATCCTATTGTTCTGAGAACTATTTGCTATGGACGCCGTCTCTATCTAAAATTACACGACACCAGGCTGTCTCTCCGCATTATCATCCGGAAAGACGTCTTGCTACCGAGCACGATGCTGCGCTGATTCCCGAAGCTCTCAGAATGAGGGACTCGAAGGGGAATTGCTATTGGTTATGGCTTCAGCCGGTATCACGATTGTTCATTTATTAGGATGAGACGGTCTCATTGAGACCGAGCGGAAGGTCTACTACTGTTCCTCTAGTTCCTCCCATAGCGACTTGGTTATGGTTTTGGTTACTGATTCTACTTCTAATGTCCTACCCGATCGAGCATCGCGACAGACTGGCAGAGGGCTTCGACCTGGAATTGACCTTGCACGAGGTTTTGCCGTACCTCTTCGGTACTAATGAGAATGCGCGTAAGTGCATGCGCCCACTCCAGTACATGAAGGGAAATATCATGGCGATGATTTTCGGTTGGGACATCCACAAAAACGTGAAGATTAACGTGGAAGACATGGATGCAGTAATGTTAAGGCCTTTATTAGTATGATCCTTTTTATTTTTAATGCATTGGCTGACAGTTTCATACTTTTCTTCGGGATGAACCACAGGAGCGAAACTCCAAAGTCAAACCTTCCTGCTCTTCTAATGATGGATGCTTCGAAAGAGCTGCAAAGAATTGCGACGGCATTGGATACGTGGCCTAAACTTATGCGTGCAGTACAGTGCTGCTCTAAGACTAACAACATTCCTTGTTTTGCTTAGAGATAGCAAAACATGGCGAGTAAGAATATGAATGAAAATAATACTAGTACTAGATCTAGAAGTTGAGGAGTCAGCGTCAGAGAATCTTCTAACAATCAGCTCACCTTAACGGAGGAAATGTTTCCGAACGCCAACATCGACATTTACGCGATTAAGTGGCTTATGCTCAATGGAAACCAGAGCTTAACGCAAAACGTCCTGGCGCAGGCATCTCTTGTTCGGTAACATTCCTCTTTGCCACGATGTTTTTGCTTTCCACAATTCAGTAAATACGTAGCGGTCGAGTGTATTGCCATCAATCTGATTAGGGAGCAGCTAAAAACTAACATGAGAAACGGAACCTCGTCTCTCTTTCCTCATAATACAGTTGGGCGGCCACGGCGAGTGAAATGAAGTGCAATTTTCGTGCGCCGTTTTTGGCAGTCGATGATCTCCAAGAAACCGAAAATAAGACGCCCAAGAATCCTGCAATCATGATCTGGTTTGAAGAAATGTCGACTCTGGACGTGAAGCAGTTCGAAGGCCTGTTTCGCCGTATATACTACTCTTTCTCTTTGTTTTGTATAATAATTTCCATTGTACTTGTAGTAAGTGTGCCTATATTGGGAAAGACAGTGATCACGTGTTTCAGTTTCTATTTTTCTATTGATATTAGTACCCGTGCAGATGAGTGAGAGATCAGCTGTGTTCTGCATATGGCCTCACTTCTGTGCTCTTGTAGCATGTTCATCACTTCATCTTCCGGCAACGTCAGGCTCTGCTTTGGACGCTAGCAAGAAAAAGGGAGGCAAGAAAGGTGGAGGAAAAGCCAAGAAAGGCAAAGGCAAGAAAGGCAATTTTGCTGCGGCAGCAGCTGCTTCGGGAGCATCCAGAGATATTGCGATTATTCGCCTCTTGGCTGCAGTTTCTCTGGCCAAGGCTATCTACCAGGTCTACCGCTCCGTCGTGACCTACACCGAGGTTCACACGTATGTCTGCCCGCAGCAGATCGCGCTCACTCTTCGCGAGTGTCAAGATGTACTTCGTTCTTTCTTGAGTTTGAAACTGAGTCCATCAGTGTTCATATTGCCAATTGTGGCGTCGTGATCTTCAGGTGTAGCCCCTCGACTTGTAGTCAAAAATATGGCATGAAGACCATCTTCAGAAGATGAGCATGAAGCTGGGCATGTAGCTGTAGTGCGCGCACTTGTTTACGTTCACTCACATTCACGACTGCGCGCATTCTTTTTATTTTCAATCTTACAAACAGTTAATGAACGAATTGGCGAACTGTGGCAATCCCGCGGGACCTGCTGTTCTCGACGAGATCACGCAAAACTTGAAAACTCTGGTATTTCTATTTTGTTCTGCAGGTGTGTGAGGAATATTCCTTTCATCTAACTAAGTCCGACTAAGTCGTGGTTCATGGTTTATTTACTTCTTTGTCTTTCGTATTTCATAGCACCGCAGCCGACGCTTTCGTAACTGCATCAGAGAAGCTTGCGCTACAATTGCAAGTATTTGTAGTGGTACAAGAGTCAGCAACCGACCACGTCGCCTTCTTTCTTCTCATTTGTGTAGAAAAAACAACACTAACCTCTAACTCTAAGCAGTAGCCATAACCTCTTCCTCTTCTCAGAACGGATACCGCAAGCTCTGCTTCGATTGGTTAGCGGATCGAACTAAAAACACGGAAGGAGAAACGAAAGTTGATTATGGCTAAAGTATGCACTCAGTTCATCGATGTCAGTCGCTGGGCCTAAATGCTAGCTGTAGACGTCGCTCTTTGGAGCATGCAGCTTCATACTTTTCTGTCCCCATACGGCATACCTAGACCTACCCCTACCGACTTGTCCTTTTTCATGTAAAAACTGTAGTCTTCCTGGTTTGTCATTTTCCCACTTCCCCACAAATTTCTAATGATTGGAAATCAAACGATTGGTCATCGAGACTTCGGCTGCTCAGGGTGCACTTCCAGGCCAAGCCCTCGCTCGTCGAAACGAACTCACGGGACTCAAGAATCTCTATCCCAATTTCGAGGAGCTGCTGCTCCAATTGTGCACCCAAGCGCTTGACATGGTTCAGCAGCGCCAGTACGTTCCAGCCTTGGCAGCACCTACGGGCGACTTGCCGGCGCCGATCCCAACAGATCAAATCAGCAACAACAACACTCCAGCTAGCAATGCTCTTTCGGGATCGGCTGCGCCTGCGCGAGGCGGTGGCGCTGTTGGCGGACCGCGCAAGAAGGCTCTCTACTAAAATGGTCATCAGTATAAATATGATATTGATGCGTTTGTGAAGATTAGTTTAACCAGGAAATGAGTAGAGTAAGTATAGGTCGTCACTTTCAATTCCGTGAACCATGAAAAAGGACAGAGAATAGGAGAAGCTCAACGAGAAAGAGAAGAATGCTAGATGTTGCTATTGAAGTTTGAAAGTGTACCCTTATACTTAACTTTCGTAATGAAAGAAACGACAGGGACAGCATCCGCATTTCTAACGATACTGATCTAGTTTGTAGTTTGATTAAAGCAGTCCCCACAACATGGTGATAAGTTGAGCATCGTCTTCAGCTTCACCTTGGAGGCTCTAAATTCAGACAGAGTGCTTCTTTATCATTATCGTTTTCTATTTAAAACTATGACAATCTCAATCACGTTCAGAGTGAAGATGATAGTTACAGTTTGTATTTGATATACCGAAGAACTATTCTAGACTTGAATTTACTTGCGATTCGAGAGTCTAGATTTCATGTTGACCCCTCGCCCAAGGTTGTCAAGTTTTCTTTTAGAAAAAATGGCATACCTATAACTATTGTTATAATTATATTCAGGTCCGGAAGATTCAAAGTCTGCACCCTAGTACATGCTTTGAATCAAATATGAATAAAGTATAGAACTAAAAGCATGATATAGATATTGGTATTAGAAATCTATCAGAAGCGACGAGGCACGTCGTGCTCGTACTCTTCTAACCAGTTCGACCTCTTCCTGCATTACCTCTGAAGAGTAAGCTGGGCTCTTTTCTGCTCTCTTTCTTCAAGTTTTATGGGACTGTCCGGCAGGTTCGGAGAACGTATTTGCACGCGGAAGGCGCGCGCGTCCGTCGTTCTGTTAGTAACTTTTGATGAAGTTCATATTTACACTTCTGCGTGAATGTAATCGCGTTACTCGCATTGTACTGTCGCAGAACTAAAAACTCTAGTAGCCACTAGCCAGATCTTTCTCCCCCAACACTTCGGCTTACTGTGCAGAGCGCCGTAGCTGTCCTTTCAATTTCATGGCGTCTTCCATGGATTTGAATCGATAGCCAGTCTATTATTAATAGTGAGTGAAGATTTGTAACCATAAACATACTCATGGCAATGGCTGATGGCAGTAAAACGAACTTGGTGCAACATTGACCTACTCTGCTTTTCGCATCTCTATCCTTGACAGTATGGAGATCAAGAAGCAGTTTAGTCAAATTTTCTTAGTTCAAAGTCGAGGAATGTTGTAAGAAAAGCATAGGGTGAGGTGGTAAGAAAACGACGGCAGCCCTAATTCATGATAATTAGTTCGAAACGATGACCATTCTTATCTAATTGAAGTATATTTTCATCAGTGAAAAATTATTCAGTTCAACTCTTTCATGTTTTTGCTCATTTTGTCCTGGCGCAAGCCGTGGCTTTATGGTAGTATCATGATGATAGCACAACCACAACTATAAAGATAATAAGTTTAAGACTGAGGCACCCATGCTCATAGTGGCGTCAGGAAATTGATCTAGGTGAAGTCTTTCTTATTGTAAATATTATTACAAATCAATCGCCAGTAGTAGGAGTAGAAGTTTTCCACTTTCTAACCACTACTAAGCGAAACGCAAGCGCAAGACCCCGCGCGGGTTCTAGGAATTCAGTGTGTGGAATACCATCGACATTACATTGGCATCCTTTCCGCTACAAATTTTGATTGATATAATTTATGCTCACACAGTATCGGGCAAAATAAGTTCCATATAATTATAAATACTGAGGCTCAACACAACAACCAAAGCACTTCGCAAGAGGCAACTTTCAGTAAAGTTTTGAATTCATTACTGCCTTTTGATCATCCGTCATGGCCCATTTTGTAGGAGTCGGCGTCCTACAGCCTTCTAGTATTAGTAAAAATATAAATATATCTTCGTCAAGTTTTGACTTTTATAATATGCTGCCGATGTTGAAAGATGTAGTAGCCTAAGCACGTGAACATAATGAGAAGTAAGTAATTTTGAGTATTAATATTAATAATTCTTCATGTTGATGAAAAACACTAGTCGCTAGACTTCTTCAAATTCATGATCAAAGAACTTCGTCATCTTGTTCGATAACCACCTAATCCATTTCTATGCCGATACTTTACTCAGTGTAGTGTCTAGTGCTAGTCATGAAAATTAGGGAGATCAAAATGATAACAATTGAAATAGAAATACAAACTTTCCGTGCGCAAGGGTCAAGAACCATTTTCCATGCTGCCGTCATAGCAGCACGAATCAAAATCAATATGAATAACCTATAAGTATAAGAATAAGAGTAAGTGCATTGTTCATATTTTGCACATAAACAACGAGTAAACGAAGCCAATGACCATTATGATCTTGTTTCTTTATTCTGGTACTGACGCAAGAGAAGAGCAGGCTTCTCTTCCCAAACTTCAAATCCTCACACGAACCAGCGGAAAAATTGAGAAAGCGTCTGATGCTAAGCCTATACCTAGGTCTAAAGTAAAGGGTCTGTTTGTAGAGGAGTATCCGTCATCATCTTGATCATTATACTCATTACTGCTGAAGACAAATGACTGATAGATAGCATAGACATCACAAAGAACATAGCTGATCTTCTAAGTACGCAGATGAAAGCATCAATTTTCAGGGAGAGGGAGATGGGAATTATAATTCTTGATAATTTAATCGTGTAGTTCATGTTCATTGAGCCACCAAGTCAGCAAGGAAGAATCTTGTAGAATAAGAATGTCGGGTCTATCAACTAATTAGGGGGACGGGAAGAACCATCACGATAAAAAGCATGAGGAATTTCTGAATCTACATCATGAAAAAATCAACCACTCCAGCATGTAGAGG